GATGGTTAGAGATATACTATGATCTACTACATGTCAGTGTTGATACCAAGACCGCAACAGATGGTTACTAGACTATATAATCATTAGACTATATGATCATATATAATCTATATATAATCTATATATAATCTATATATAATCTATATATAATCTATATATAATCTATATATAATCTATATATAATCTATATATAATCTATATATAATCTATATATAATCTATATATAATCTATATATAATCTATATATATAATATATATATAATCTATATATAATCTATATATAATCTATATATAATCTATATATAATATATATATAATCTATATGTCAATGTTGACCCAAGCCACTGGATGAAGGTCCGAGACGAATTCGGGAACGACGTGCCAGACCAGGGCATCCCGGACTGCAGTTTAACATCGTTTCACACTTCAATTCTCCAGAAAACATTGGACTTTGTGCAGCAATTTGCTTCTTGGGGTTTTGTATCTCAGTTACATAAGTTATATCATGTTATATCCATTTCATTCCTTTTTTATATTTAGAATCATTTATATATATATATATTATATATTATATATATATATTTGAATATAACATCCTATCCACCCAGAATTTGTCACCTGGAAGATCTCCTCATTTGCCTTACCCTCGAATTTGTGATATAGCTGTTTGAAACCTATTAGGACATGGTGATTGCCATGGTTTTGTGAACTCACCCGGGAGATCACAAGCAGAAACGAACTTCCCTTGAGGCAACAACTTCATGTTCTGCGAAGCCGACGGCCCTGAGCAGAAGACTACCCCCTTCCGCCCGGCCCTGGACACGGTCCGCACCGCGCCCGGTCTCTTCCGGGTGAATCTGCGTTTGGACACCACGGGGGTCCACAAGGTGAATTGCTACGCGCTGAACAAAGGGGGCATCAACGCGCGGTACTTCAACAATCGATGGGTGGAAGGGGTGCCAGCCATCTCACAGGTAGGGGAAATTGGAAGCTGTCTTTTGATTCAAAAAGTGAAGAGATTGGAATTTGGGGGTCAAGGTTGGGTGAGATTCCCAAACAGTCTTGTTGGCTTATTAGGATTGTCCATCACATTTTGGATTCTTTAAGAACTTGCAGCGAAAAACTTGCTTTGTCACTCTTCCACAACCTTTCCTTTTGAATTTTGTTGGATTTCCCCACCTTTTCGCCAGGTCGACACAGCGATCGACTTCAACTGGGCCGAAGGACTGGTGACGGCCGACTCTTCGGACTATGCCTCGGCGCAGTTTGATGGCTATTTGCAGGTGCCCACGGCGGCGAACTACACCTTTTACATCACTTGTGATGATGGCGCCAATCTGTGGATTGATGATGAGTTGGTCCTGAGCCAAGCAACTGCAGGGCAGTATGAGACCCGGCCCATTCTGTTGACGGGATCGAGGTTGTACCATTTGCAGGTGATGTACTATGAACGCACGGGTTTCGCGCGCATGCGCCTGGAATGGGCCAGTGATCAGGGTTTCTTAGATTTGCAGAAGGTGACTTTAAAAGATTTTATTTATTTTTTTCATGGGTTACAGTATTTCCAGACATGGGGAATCTATATAGGGAATAGCTTTCATTGGTGAATTCATAGTTTTGCTTTCATGGATCTTTCAGACATGGGGAAGAAATGTTGGTTGATTTTCTGCTGCAAATTCCAAGGTTTGGTGCGAGAGGTCATAGGAAAGGACTCCTGGTATCATTCCCGCAGCTTACTGGGACTCTTTCCACAGACCGTGCTGGTCTTCGATAAACCAGGACTGCTTTTGGGGAACTGGGATGGTTTTAAGGGAACATAAGGGAACATTTACAGGACCCCCCTAGCGTTGGGAAAAAACATGGTTTCCTGTGGGATTTTTTCCTTAAAACAATCTATTGAATTCTATTGATATTTTGGGACTTGAGCCAATCTGTTTTGTCAGAAGTTCGTCGAAAGGGATCCCCGACCAGAAGGAAAGGGACATCGTCTAAGGAGTGGAGATGAACTTTTCTATCTTTCTTGAGACCCCTACATGATCCATGATCCAGATTGCAGGACCAGTGGAAGCCTTCTACCATCACGACTTCCAGTACGATGTGAATCAACTGTTCCCTGCCTTTGGTAGCATCAATGATTTGGGGTTCATGGCAGTGGGTCCATAATGCGCCTATGCTGGTTACTTCAATCCACAGTCACCACCGGTCACCAGTAGCCGTCATGCTTTAAGATCCTCGGGTTCCTGGCATGTTTTTTCTATACACAAATGGGCTTGTCTCGAAATGGGATACCCCCAAATTCCACTGCTGAAACTCACAATTTCCATTGCGGAAACTCACAATTTTTGAGGTACAGGTACATCTACGAAAACGTACCAGAATCAATTGTTGGTTCTATATAGTCCATCAAAATCCCACGGAAATATCCCATAAATTCATCACATATGCCATAAAATGGTGGGTTTCTTCCCTTTTTCCACATGAAAACCTGGCCGGTCACCTTGGTCCGCCACGAGTCACTCAGGTCGTGGATCCCTCCACAGGACAATAGCGCCAAGGCCATTGTGGGGTATCGCATCTACCGGGACGACGGCAATGGTGGTGCCATCGATTCACAGCTGGCCTTGACGGATGAAAACACCTTCTCCTACACGGATAGTGGGTTGGTCACTGGAAATGTCTACTACTACAGGTGGGGGATGGGATGAACACTGATGGAGATCCAGGGAAAATCCAGGGAAAAAAAGGAAGAAAAAGTGTGATTAACATCTATAGATTTGACGGGGGACTTTCCTATATTTCACCATTTCACAAGTAGATTTTCTATGACTTTCCATCTTTCCTATTTCAAACATGCCAACAAAACATGCCAGACCCCATGTTGGAAACCCATCATCATTTTCCAGGATTACGATCAACTGGCAATTTTCATAGGGAAAGTCTGTGAAAATGGTGAATGATGGCTATTTTAAGTGGCTTTTCCCCAAAATTCAGCTATGGGATGTTGGATGGTTTTGGGGTTTTCCCCATTCAACAAATCAGACAAAACCCACATTCGTTGCACATTCCATCATTGTTTTTGACGTTACCCTCTGGTAAACTGTCCCATAACAGTTATGGAACACATGCATTTGAACACATGCATTTGGCACATGGTTTTTGGACATGCATATTTAGAGACATGCATTTTGACTCTGCATTTTGCACATGCTTATTTTAGACCCTGCATTTTGAACATGCACATTTCAGATAGGTACATGCATTTTGGGGGGTATAGGGCTGTGGCTGGAAAGAAAGTCATAACCATAACTATAGAAAATCACCATGTTTAATGGATTTAATGGGAAAATACACTATTTCAATGGCCATTGTCAATAGCTATTTTGACAAAACCAGAGGGTAAAACCCATGTGTGGCCTGCAGAATCTTCGCCACCAACGGCGACGATGGCGAGCCGGTGACGATCTCCGCGCAGCCATCGGTGCCGCCAGTGAAGCGCCTGGGCGGCGACGGCGATGGCGGGAAACGTGGGCATGTTATATAGATTTTGACTGGGGATTCTAAATGGATATAATGGGATTATAACTGGATATAATGGGATGATATTATACTTGGGGATTATAACTGGATATAATGATATCATGGGAAATATGGGAACACATAGTTGATATACTCGTACCGTCTGGTAAACTAACAGATCTAACAGTTTGCTATTGAAGCAATGGCCATTTAGTTCGTTGATTTACCCATTAAAAGAATGGTGATTTGACCATATTTGACCCATAGTTTTTTGTATGTTTACCAGAGGGTATTATAGATGATTTTTCCATATTTTTCCCTAAACCTCCATTCTATACATGTTTCTTTTGTGATGTTTGGTATGGAGATGATCCACAACTAGACAGTTTCTACATATGTTCACCAAGCAACAGAAAAAAACAGAAAGTTGATTTGCTGTTTGATTTGATTTGATTTGATTTGATTGATCTATTTGGTCATATAGAATCTACAGTATTTGGATCACTTTTTTGGGTTCTTTTTTCCAAGATGACAACATCAATGGCCCCGGCTCGAGGCCGGACCCGGCACTGTTGATCAACACGGGTAGTGGGACGATGACCTTCCGCTTCACGCCGCTGACGGGTGCACCTTCCGGCTGGTCGCCAACGATCCGCAGCTTGGATGGGGATGGATGGCTTGGATGGCGATGGTTTTTGGTGATGGTTTTTGGTGATGTCCAAAAACTTGAACTCGGTGAATTTCCGAATTTTGAGTGATTTCAACTCAGATTCAAAGTTTGGCCGTGGAACATTCCAATGAGAGTTTGCCATGCTGGTCTGGCGCCTGAGGCTACACCCTGTACCGCAACGATGGTCTGGGCGGTGTCCTGCGCTTCAGCTATGAAGGCGACATGGATGGCACCTCCACGGTGGAACTGGTCATTGGAGGATTGGTGGAAGGACGACAGCACCTCGGTTGGTGAGTTGGGGGGCTTGGTGACTTGATAGGTTTTCCCTGCTTGCGGGAAGGTTGGGGGATGATGAGATGCTATCCCTACAGTTACTATCAGCTACAACTCTTCATATGGTTGTTGAGTTTGGGTTTCTTGCTGCGCTAAGACTGTAGACCGCTGTAGACTGCTATCTTGCTGCATCGCTACGTTAAAACCTTTGGTTCACCATCAAGCATCCAATAATTTTCAAAACCACCCGGGATGTCATCCCATCCCAACCCTGAAATCCCATAAATGCTCATATAACCCACATATAACCCATATATAAGCCATGTATAAGCCATACATAAGCCATACCCCATCTCCCATCCCATCTCCCATTCTCCCAGGTATCTCTTCCAAACCTCCTACTGGAGTCGCATCGGCCAGTCGCCCTTGAGCGACGTCACGGCCGTGGTCTGCTGCGAGTTCCGCAAGCCCGGCTCGCCGCCGGTGAACCTCCGCCGCGAGGGCGACCAGAGCAACGAGAAGATCTCCCTGGCGTGGGATGCGGTGACGGAAACTCGGGGAACAAAGTTTTTAAAGGGGAAGCAAAAAAAGGGGATAGGGATGATTAAGGATTAACAATTTCCATTCTACATCATTCTACTTTTTTTGGGTGGTTTGTATAATTATGTATAGTTCATTTTTTTTGGGGGGGTTTGTATGGCTGAGCCATGATGTTTGGATGGATGAAACATGGATGAACTGGGGCTTATCTAAACAAAGAGATAGATTTATAGATGTAGCAACCCCCGATAGTGATAAAGATGCAGACAAATCGTTCAATTGATCACCTAAAGGTGAAAAAAGGATCAGTACAGTAGTTTGAAAGTATGAGTTTACATTTGCATTTTTTTTGGGGGTTTTCCCCTGATAGCGATTGGGGTACCGCTCAAATCCAATGATTGATACTGACGGAAGCCTTGGGATGATGCGTTGGATGTTGGACTTCCAATGATACCTTGACCAAACTCCCAAACTCCCAATCTGACGCCAATTCCGGCATTGAGTCATTGAGGATATTGGTTCCTCATCCTTGATCTATTACAGACTTTACATGGATGATGGCTACACCGAAATCTCCAAAAACACGGCGAGTGGCACCACCACCACCGAGTTCTTTGAGTTTTTGACCCCCGGGAACCCCTACCGTTTCGCCGTGGCCGCGGTGAACGCGGCCGGGGAGGGGCCCCGAAGCGAACGAATCACCCTGACAGCCTCAGATGTGGCGGGGCAGCCGTATGATGTGGTCGCCACCTTCCAGTCCAGTTATCGCAGCTGGAGCTTTTTTGGGGCAGATTTTGGGGGGTTGGGAGATGTTTTTTTTTGGGATGTGAGACTGATAATGACAGTATTTCACCGTTTTTTTTCTGATTTGGATGGGATATATCCAAGTAACAGAACCAGGGGGGCTTCAGATTTTCCTTCAGCTTAGGTATTGACCTGGCCTGGAAGAAGCCTTTACTCACCGGAGCTTCAGGGATGAGTGGCTACAAGGTCTGGGTGGACGATGGCAATGGTGGCAACATCGCGAACCTTATCTGGGACGGCGGAACCAAGGCCTCGACCCTCTACTACTCCTGGCAGCCGGTCTTCTCCGATGGTTCCGTAGCGTTGCTGGCGGGGCATACCTACCGCTTTCAGGTGGGGAAATGATGGAGCCTTGAACGTTTTATATCGTTTTATGGTTGTGCGGAATTGTCACACGAATTCAATGAATTTAGATTAATTTAGTATATAAAAATATATACACGTAAATGTTTAATATATGTTTGTAATTTAATATCATATTCCCACTTTCTCCACATTAAGATGGCGAAAATCAAAAATGAATGCAGCATTTCTGGACAAACAGATGTACCACTGCATATGTTTGTTGGCGTCCATTCTATACCCGCAGATAGTGGTTGGTTCAACCACCCATTCCATCTCCTTTACACCAATCGATTTTCCATATTGGTGAATTTTAAGTATATCCAGTATTTCCAGTGTATCCACATATATCCATAAATCTCAAAACACCCCCAGAAACCACGGGTTAGTAGGGGATTTGGACCCATATTTGGACCCATACCATGGCACCATGGCAGTGTTTCATGTGGGGCTGGGGGCTGGGGATTCCCCCTATGGAAACGGTGACCCACAGGTGCAGAGTGTGAACCCCACCGGGGACGGCGCCAAGTCCAACGTCTTCTCCATCGTGGCGGCCGCCAAGCCGGATGCACCGGGGAGACCGGTGGTGGACAGGCGGGTCGGATGGTTGGATGGTTGGATGGTTGGATGGTGGGATGATCTGATGGCAGGAGTGGTTGGAGTTTAGTGTGGGAACTTAAGTCACCAGATAGAAAGGGTTCAAGTTGCTATTTTAGAATTGGATTGTGCTGCTCTGCTTCTTTTTTGGGGTTACAAAAAGTTGGAATGATGGTTCCGAACTGCAACTAAGATGGTTGTTTTTGTGCAAGTTTCCAATAGAATTCGACATTGACTCTCAGCCCTCTCAGCCTCTAAGTTGCTGCTAGGGCATCCACCTCCTCAACCGCAGTACATCTGTCATGGGCTGCACCTTACAATGGCGGGTCACCCATCTTGGGATACATTGTGGAAAGAAAGGACGACCCAACGGCAGCTTGGGTGCAGTTGACCACTACTGCGAGTGCCTACACCTCCACTACATATGTGGCTGGGCACGAAAACGACGTGCAAACATCGGTGCTTTTTGTGCGTTTTTGGGGAGGAGGGCATGAAGAACGCATCACCGAGATATCCCAAACATTATAAATTGTGTGCATGTATACAGTAATATGTATACACACGCGCATACATTGTCATTTTTTTATCTCTTCTTTTCGTGCCTTCGTCATCACCACAGCCCTTTGTCCATCCTGTGGATATGGCTTGACATCTAAGGCCAACACAGATTTTGATGACTTTAGTCATTTTAGTCTTGAAGCATCCCAGACCTTTGGCTCCCAGTTTCTGAAGAACAATATATTCCAGCCACTTGAGTCAAAAACATCAGTTGAAATCATCCCTAGTGGCCCTACCAAGACTCTTCAGACTCTTCACCCATCAGGTGGATCATTTCTGTCATTTCTGTCATTTCTGTCATTTCCAGGTGGATACCACCAACATCGCGGCGAACAGTTTCTACATCTATCGGATCTCGGCCTTCAACCTGGTGACCGTTGGGGACACCTTGTACTCGCCGGAGGCCACCATCCCTGCCAGCGCGGTGCCCACGGCACCCACGGTGAGCTTCGTGACCTCCACGGAGACGACCATCACCGTGTCCTGGGACATCCCCCTGTCGGATCTGACGGTGACCGGCTTCCGGCTCTATGTGACTTGGAGGAAGGTGGTGATGGGGGGAAAGGGTGGTGAGGCTGGGTGTTTTTATGGGGTGGCTGGATGTGTAACGGAAAAATGTTGGGGTTGAAGACAGAACACACTTTTGACTGTGTTCTTTTTCGCCGCAGCAATTGGGATTTTCACCATGGGGTTCCGAGGCCGACAATGTCTTGAAGTACGATGGCGCTGGAGTGAGCACTGTACGTACCTTCACCCTGGCGGGCTGCACCACTGGCCTCTCGACCGGTGATGGATTGATACATTATCAGGCGTAAGTCCCACGATTTCTTCATTGTATGCCCAGTTGACTATCAGTTTACCAGACTGGGACTGGTGGGAAAATCCATGGTATCTCCCATCTGACTATCTGACTATCTAAAGCTCCATTTATCCCATTGAATCACTCTCAAAATCCCCGAAATCATCCGAAATCGCTGGGAAAAAGCCGAGGCAACATGCACGACTTCCGTGCCACCGCCCTGAGCGACGCTGGGGAGTCCGGCTATTCAGCCTCCCTGCCGCGGTACTGTGCCAGGTCGACTCTGGGGGATGTTTCCCCAAGATTTGGGGGTTTTGCCCAGGATTCAAGGGATGATCAGGTGATGAACATGGTGTTTTTGTTGCCATTGATGCCATTGATGTGAGGACTTAGCCATGGGGGATTCACACATTGCAAATCCAAGGCGTTTCAACATATTTTTTTCTATTTTCGAATGGCCAATGATGGTCATAAACTCGGGAAATACTGTAGTGATCAGCCCCTCTTGAAGCTTGAGATTTTTGGTGCTGGTCTCAGAGGACGAACCAGTAATACTGGAGATAGCATGATAGAGGATTTGAACATAAAAACATAGGTGTGTGCTTTTTTGCCAACAACGGCTTGCCATTCTCTCCTTTTCCCTTACCTGCAGGCGACCGTATCCACCAGCGCAGCCTACTCTGAAGTCCACCACTCTCCAGGTTGTGGAACCTTGGAGCGGACATGGCAATTTTGAGGGAAACCTTCATGGTCTGATCAAAGAGGTGCTCAAGAATTATGCTGGCCATGTTCCAACCTTTAATGGATGCCTAACTTGGATCAACAACTCTTTAGAAGATGCCAACAGATCATCATTTGGTGTTTTTTTTGACCCCTCAACGACCACCTGCACCAAGGAGATTCAATGGATGGCTCCCAGCAACAACGGTGGGATGCCAATCTCGGGTTACAAGGTGCAGCGCGCCAATCACGACAACTACTTCTTCGGCACCGTTCAGTGTCTTCAAGCGGACAATAGCTATTTAACCACCTTGCCGGAGAATCAGCATTCCTGCACCTTGGTTGATGTTTGAAACTGGGTGTCATAGATTTTTTTCAACCATAGTTTCAACATTAATTTCAACCATAGAAATGCTATGATGAGATCCCCAATGACTATCATACACATAAATAGCCAAATAGCTCAATAATATCTATGTATTATATATATATGATATATTGTATGTAGATATTTTTTCCGGCTTTTTTCTGAACCAGGCATGGATGACACGGCCTTTCTCTGTTTCGAGCGCAAGTGCAAGTACCGGGTGCTGGCCATCAACGGCGTGGAGGACGACAACTTCGCCGACGTCTCGCCGTACCTGGTGGCCACCGCCGCCAACCTCCCCGTGCCGCCGGCCTCGGTGACCCGGGACGATCCGCCGAGCAGCAAAACGGCCATCGAGGTCATGTGGACGCCGGTGACCTCCGAAAGCGATACAGGTGGGGCTGCGGCCCATAGAAATGATCCCCTAGAAATTATCCACATAACATATATATCATATGTATCCCCTAATATAGTTGGTGATTTTTCGAAAAAACACATCAACTATTGGGAATCAAGTCCAAATAGTTGGTGATCCCCTAATATAGTTGGTGATGTTGGTATTTCCAATACATGAAAGATATTGAAACAATCTTCCATGAACTCCTTAAATGTTTCTTCATTTTCACCTAAAATTCGTGGGGTCCCCAGTCCCCAGGGGCCACATTGATCACTTCTGGTGAGGTGGCGCCATGGTGATCGGTTACCGGGTCTACGCCAATACCGGGATCGATGACTCGCTCTCCTTGGTCTTTGATGGATCTGGAAGCCCCTCCGTGCGGAGCTTCAAACACACGGGGCTCACGCCGGGACGGCGCTACTGGTATCAGGTGGGGAACACTTGGGGAACAAAAATATGGAGATGATTGGAAGTGAGGGAAGTTCTTTCTTTAAAACACTGTTCATTTTTGTTCTAGGTTTTTGTTTTGTTTCTTTTCTTTTCCTTCTGTTCGGAAGCACTACAGAAATCTTCACATATTGACAATGGATTTATTCATAACTTTTGTTTGTGACAGAAGCGAGGGAATTCTGGGTCCAATGCATATCATTTGTCAGCATCTTTTCCTTTTTTTCCAAAAAAAACACCACTACTATTCATGTTGTTCATCGCTGAAACCATCAAAGTTCCTATATCCGCACCCTTCAAAAGTCAGGGCCTCAATGTTTTTGTGCATTCCATGGATACCATTCATCTATCTACTAGTCTTCCAAATTGGTTCAACTGATGAAAAGGGAGGAAACTTTGAATCTTTGGTTGGTCAAGTGTATGGTTTGTTGGCCAAGCTCCCTATTCTATCCCATTTTGGATGAGTAAAGCGTCCAATTGTCTCCACACAACCCAGCCCTTCATGTTCCAAGCTTAACGGATTTAAGAACTAGAACTAAGCATATTAGATAATATATAAATATCATTAAATATCACATATTATATATACAGTATATACACATACATGTTTATATATATATATATATGACATATATAATATCGCCTTACATCTATACACCCTCAGCAAATCTCAGCAACCTTCTCTCAGGTGAGCAGCGTGAGCTCCGTGGGCGAAGGCGCCCAAACCAGCGTCTTCACCTTCCTGGCCGCGGAGCCGCCTGCGGCGCCGCTGCAGCCGCGCTTCGTGACGGCCTCCTTTGGGTCCATTACCATTGGGTGCCTGGGAGTTTCCATAGGGATTGGATGGGATTTTCCTGTTTTTTTTATGATTTTCCATAGGATTTTTCCATGGGATTTGGATGGGTCGATGGGATTTTTCGATGGGAGTTTTATGCTGGTGAAAAACATTGTGGTGAAAAAGTGTTCTGGTATTTTGAGAAGATGTTTGATGGGATTTGGGAAGTGTCGGTTTGAGGATTTCAAAGCTCATCTGACTAGATATTTTTTTGGGTATGATATCCTAGTTTTGGTGACATTGAACTTCTCCCTTTTGGAAGGGAGATTGGATGCTATTGGATTTTGTTTGAACGTGAAAACAGCTCGTGGTTTTAATTTCTGTATCCTTTTTGCAGCCATATCACCAACAAAAATGGGAATGCAGCCATCAACCACTTGGCAGAACATGGGGATATTTCTTGAAAAAAGATGGATGTTGGGCATTTCCAAAATCCTTCCTTTCCAGTGGATTGTGGGTGTCACGTTAAGGTTGGATCCACCACCGTCTGATGGAGGCTCGCCCATCGTGCGCTATGCCATCTATCACAATGATGGTACCGTGAATGGCCTGTTGAGCACCCAGGTCTTGGTTTGCGATATGTCCAGGACCGAATTTGCCGTGCCCAACTTGATTAGCGGCTTGGATTATCAGATCCAGATCCAGGCCCATGCGGACTGTCCCACCGGCACGGGCACTTCGCTTCATGCCTATGATGGTCAGGGTCTCTGCGTGAACGATGCCGAATGCACCCTCCCGGGGGAGAGGAGTGGGGTGGCCCTCTACACCACCACCGATGTGCCCGACCTGGTGGTCTTGGCCAAGGTCTCCGGTAGCCAGACGCGTACTGCGGTCACCTTCCGTTGGGATGCACCGGGAAATGATGGGGGCAGTCCCATCACCAGCTATGAACCCTACAGAGATGATGGCCTTGGTGGAGACTTTGTGCGTGTGGATGTGCTTCCCACCAACTATTTTGAACCAGATACGGAGCTGTCAGTGACAGGCAGGGTTTCAAAGTTGTTGCATCAACTTGTATCTATTGACTGCAAGTCAGTTTGACCACTTTTTTTGATCTTCGATCAGCATTTTTCTGTTCTTTTTTGGGGTCCAGCTTTTTTCCAGGCCCCTTTTTTACTGATCAAGTCATAAAACACAGAGTGTTCCCCCAAAAACATCCAAAAACTATACCTTAACTTATATCCATACTTATAACAAGTCCTCAAGAACAGTACTTCCACAGCTCATCCATCCCTTTTCATCCCCCCAAAAAACACAGTAACTTCGACTTGCACAGGCAACGAGTACAAGTACAGTGGTTTGGTCACCGGCCGGCGCTACAACTTCTTCATGGCGGCCTGCAACAAACGCGGCTGTCGCAGCGGCTCCATCTTCGGCCCGCTGACCGCAGCCGCGCCGCCGGACCAGCCGGACCCGCCCCTGGCGACGGCCACCTCAGCCTCCCCAGCGGTGATCAACCTGACCTGGACGCCACCGGACAACGGGGGGATGCCCATCTTGAGGACGGAACTGCAACGTGATGATGGACAGGAGCTGGGGATGGGATGCGGGATGATGCTTGGGGTGATGATTTTTTGGGTTTTCCATGGGTTTCAGTACAGATAATGTTTGGATGGGTGGGACTGGTCGGAGATGGATTTTTGTTTGGTCATGATCAACCTCCGACATGATGCAAACAGTGGAAATTCAAGGACCGGTGTCAAAGCTTTCATTAAAGAACTGCCTTTAAGGCCATGTTCATCGCACCCCAAAAAGGATAAACAAATCAAACCCGTCCCCAAAAGACATCAAAAGACTAAAAGCTCATAAAAATTATATATGTATATAAAACACATCTATTTTTTTGAGGGATTGATAAAGAACCTTTTTTAGGACCGTTGCTTCATGGCTTTTTAAATTGGATTCCTCGGTGTTTCTCCGCAGCAACTGAGCTCTCATGATGGGTTTAACCTCATGAAATCTCTGACGAACGCAGCGGGCTAAGAGGCAGGTTTTGGTGCTGATGCTGAAGCGGAGAGAACCAAAACACAAGAACCAAAACATGTTTGAATAAGGATGTTTTTATAATCCACTATTACATTAGGGTGTTATCAATTTTATAATCCACTATTACTGAATAATGATCGGTTTCAGATCAAACACACCATTTCTTTTCTCATGTTTCGGCATGTTTCGGCATGTTTCGGCAAAAAGGATGCCTAAAAAGTGGAAACAACATGTAATGACATGGAGGTTTCCTGAAATAGGGCTATCCCTAAATCATCATCCATTTTATTTAATCGGATTTTCCACTTTTATCACCATCCAACTATTGGGGTACCGTTTATGGAAACCCATGACGTAGGCGATGACATCGCCGCTGCTCGCCCAGCTGGAATCGGGTCGATTCACCTTGGCTTCTGAGAGGAGAGGGATGGATTTTGCCGGGTATTTTCACACATTTTTTCAGAGAAAGCCCACTCAATGACATGATCATGGTTACCCATGGTTACCATGGTTTTGGTGAAATCATTATCACACATTTTTTCAGAGATGTCTGATGGACTTAGGTCATAATTCGTATCCCTGACTTGCAACTGTTGATTCGACTTAGCCTTGAGGGAATGAAGACCCCGCGATCCCTCCAAGGGTTGGACCTGCACTGGGAAGCCATGACACCAACCGAACTCCCTTCGGTTGGGTCTCTTTCATTGATTTTTCATTGCCAATTTTGATTTTCAAAATGGATACTTAGTAAGAACTACTGGTTGACAGTTGAAGATGGAAGATTCTTTCTATAATCTACGTGTTTCTCCAAAAACCATTGGTTTGCCCATGAAAACATGACAAATCCAATATTGTAAAGTGGATCATTCTTGGGTCCACCATTTTCGGGATCCTCCAGATCCTCCAAAAAACGACAGTTCGGTCAGAACCTTCGACCAGGACTGGCGCTCCAGCGCAACAGGCTCCAGCCAGCCCGGGGCCCAGCATTTTCTCACCATAGAGGGGTGCCACCATTGAAACAACCAAGAGGAAAAAGGAGACAGATACCAAAGGGATTGATCTTCACCTTTTTCTTGGGGACTTGGAGAGAGTGACGTAGACTTCAGACGTTTGATGATATTTCTTGAGAAAATATCTGGGATTTCGAGAGTTACCATCTGGTTATGACTAACAGTTTGCCATGGAAAATCCACCCATTTTTAAGAGGTAAACCATCTATTTCTATGGGCCATCTATACCATGGCTATGTTAAATAACCAGAGGCTACATTGACGTTGTGTTTTTTTTTTTCGCTGGGGGTATATACAGCAGCACTGAGGTCCCATCTACACTCAGGAGGAGCGCCGAGCTATCCAACCTTAAAATGGATAAACTGGGATGACATGGTTTTTGATGGTATAAAATGGTTGATCTTGTGAATCTTCCTTCAAATTCGAAAAAAAAACCTTTGGAGAATATCTGAAGGAGCTCCTTGGTGCAGACAGTCCCGCACAGCCTTCACCAGGCGACATCCGACGCGATGGACATGTTTTCAGACATGTCGAGAGGAGGTTTGTTCAATGGTTGATTTATAGTGGATCTCTTGGATTTACCCATTAAAAATGGTGATTTTCCATAGTTATGTTAGTGTTTCTGAGGCTTCAAGTTAGTTCATTCATCCTCGTTTTCCAAATGATGTTCTTCGGTGATCATCATTTTGGAGCGAATCTTTGGATGACGCATGCCAGATTTGGCATATGGGGTATCGGTATAGGCCAAAATCTAAGGCACAGGGGACTTTTAGCAGAAAACTTGATCATTTTTAGCACCAACCAAATGCCATTTTTTCGCATCTAAAGTTGACCCATCTCCAATAGTGGCCTGGTCAAAAGATGGGTAAACTGCATAAACCCAGTCCTTGGGACGGGCAAAAAGAATCGATTCCCATGGGATGACCTATTCCCATATTTGTAATTTTAATCCCATGGTATATTCCCATGTTAATGTTAAAGTTAAATAGTTCATGTTAATTATATAATTATTCCCATCAATGAACTATTTATATAATCAAATGACCATTTGATAGTTATTCATGGGAATATTCATGGGATTGATAATATCCATCAAAATATTCATATAATATTCATCAATTCATCCCATGTGAAATATTCCCATGATATTCCCATGGATTCTTCGTTGAATTCGCCCAGGCACAGGAGACGCCCGAGGTTCCAGCAATAGGTCCAGCGTACCTTGGGCATGACTCGTCAAGGGAAAGAAACCCTGCCAGGGGGTTGGAAGATGAGGGAAAACCCACGAAAAATGGCTGTTTTTCAGAGTTAAACTGTTAATTTTGACAGTTTACCAGAGGGTAGGATGTTTGTTGAAGGTTTGACGGGATAAAGCAGGATAAAACCACATGGGATGCTTGATAAAACCTGATTGATAATGCACTTTTTTTGAAGGAGATGTTTGTTTAAAAGAATATCGACCGGGATAGAATGTATATATGTAGAATCAAATACCAATTATGCTATTTGGGGTTTGTGTGAAAGTTATAATCTTACGGAAAACAACTAGAAGTAATATATATATATATATATTATGTAATTATATATGTATAATTATATATATATATGTATATAATATTGTATAGGGCAAGCACATTTTGCTTGATGCTGTCGCCAAGATGAACATGTCATTCTGTTGACGATCAACGGTTCCAATCCAACAACAATGTGGCAATTCCATAAATCCATTTCTTTTTGGGCACCCTCCAGTAAATTAACATAGATCCTGCCAAATAGGGGTTTGGAAGATGAGTTTCCAGTAAAAACCGGTCATTTTCACGGGCGATGTTGATTTACCGGAGGGTATACTTCAAAAACTGCCCCAAGATGGTCATTTTTTTGCGCCCGATTGATGGGTGGAGTTTCAGGGAGCTGCTGAGCCTGCTGAGGCCTTGGATTCGGACTGCCTTTTGGACTCCGAAGAGGTGAAAAAGTGGGGAGGATCCATGCTTCGAAGCCATGGATGATATGGGCATTTGTAGCATGAAGCATGTCATTGGGGTAGCAAAGTAATCCTATCATATCCTATCTAAACCATGCCCAACCATGCCCAACTGCAGAGGTTCGGAAAAATAAACCTCAACCCACATTCCTTGGTGTTGATGACACGTCCATGATCAGAATCGAACCTCTGACTTCTTTGAAGCATCAACTTTGTTTGTTTGAAAGAATAGGGAACCTTCAAGAACTTATGGTTAAATCATCAGGTGACATGCAGAAGATACACCGAAGTCCTACCTTTTCCAATGGAAAATGGCTGGAGGATGACTTAGCAGATATCTCTGGATCTGTGAAAGTCATTGCTCACCACAGGCAGAATATTTGGCGAATCGAGTAGCCGCTGGCGAGGCATCTGAGGATTCCTTGGAAGAGGCGTCCGACAGTCAACTGAAGTTTGCCAGGTCAAAAATAGCAGTTTGCAGCATCCCAAAGTGAACATTCCAAATTTTCCCCCAAAACTTCCATTCGCAATCCGAAACTTTGTCTCCAGGCTGCCTATTTGCTTCTGTCGGCCCTTCCCTCCTCCCTGGACCCGGACGCCTTCGCCATTCCGCCCCCCATCAGCTGGGCACCGGTTGCCGGGGCCCCCGCCACGGACCGTGCGGAGGAGGGGGCCGTGGCCGGCGGCCACGGGGTGCCGTTGCGGCTTGTGGCGCGGCACCCGGACGTGGCCTGGGAGGGGGATGGGCAGCTGCAGCTGCTGATTGGCGCGGCGAAACGGACCGGAGACCCTAAGGATGTGTGGTGAGCCCAAGAAGGGTTTGCGACAGAAAACTGAATGAATTTGAAAGGCTGAGGATGGTTGAGGATGGTTGAGGTGGAAAGTGAAAGCAGAGAGAACATCCTTTCAGCCTTGTTTACCCTCAAACATTTGTAGAAACACCTCAGCTCAGCTCCCCTCCAAAGCTGCATTCGCAGAGCGAATGTTGGGAATGAGAACCCAAATTGGGGACCCGGCTTCATTTGTTGAATTTCACATCATGTTGCTATGAACATTAGTGATCATTTTATTGACCATTTATTGATCATTTCCCTTTGGTGACCGTTTTGTTGACCGTTTATTTGTCATTTATTGACCATTTATTGAGAATTTGTTCATTTCAGGTGTCCCCGATTGCGCGTGAAAACGAAAGGCAAACTGACGATGTTGACCCTGACTGCAGGGGGGTCATCCATGTCATCAAGTCTGAAGCATGTCCGTTGTTATCCAAGACTTTCAACAATCACCATGCAGCAATGTCGAAGATGTGTGAGACAACGTCTTCTCAACTTTTATGGAATGAATTTGGTGAATGGTCGATGGTTCATGGAGTGGGGCTGACATTTGATTATTTGTATGTTGTGTCCTACCGCAACCAGTACTTCTTCACAGATCTTGGTATTCAAGGTGGATTCAACACTAATGATCAGCCAATGGAATATTGGAAATCCTACAAGTTTCATGGCTACATTATGGACATTATTGTGGTATATCCCTTCCTACACTTTGGTAGATCTTGCCGACAGCCTATCTACAGGATGGGACAGGGCTTCAGACATGGACAAGTTACTTTAGATCCTGCAGGTCGTCGAAGTCGGTCAAAGCTCACCTGGAGAAAGTTACAGCCCTTCCTGGGATGGGTGATGCGATTTTTGGGTGAACATGGTGGAAGCATGGTGTAGCGATGTCTTATGCAAGTTTTGGTATCTGAGAGTGTAAGCATGGCGATGGAAGCTGACAGCAGGAACTGAAAGCAGGAACCACATTCTTTCAGAACCGTCAAAGTCAGTTGCTGGGAATTGCCAATGAAAGGCCCCAAATCCAGACTGGTTTCATGGGGATTCTTGAAGAATTGCCTCGTTTGTCATTGTGTTGCTTTACCATGTTGGGTCTTTGTTTTTTCATCTCCAGATCCCATATGTGCTGTGGCTGTGGTCCGGACCGCACCATTCGAGAATGGGGAATCATCTATCAGATCTATCAATTATATTCAATTATCAGGCCCCGATGCTGGGATGACCATGCATAGCCCGTACAAATATATATATATAATATAAGATATATATATATAATATAAAAAATATATATATATATAATAAGATATATATATATATAATATATATAATATATATATATATATATTCACCCATCTTCACCCATATTCAACCCCATGTTCTGATGCCAATACTATACCGCCACGTTTCCATGGCGCGATTTCAGCCTGCAGGAGGGTCTCTTCTCGGTCCTGGCCACGGTGGATGCCCCTGACTTCACCTTTTCGGATACCACGGTGGTGGCTGGGATGACATATCGCTATAGGTGGGCTGCGCGGGTTGGGAGCTTGAGAAGCACCAAAGATATGAACATTTGGAGTCCAAAAATGGACGAAATCTCCCCAAATCTACCCTCTGGTAAACTAACATAGCTATTGAAAATGGCCACAGAAATAGTGGATTTACCCATTGAAAATGGTGATTTTCCATAGTTATGGGACAGTTTACCAGAGGGTAAGTGACAGATATTGAAATTCCCATGGTGACTTGGGGAACTTGGTCCCTTGGCCCCTTGGTGCAATGGCAGGATCCAGATCCAACACGAGCAAAGCTCCTCTGACTTCAGCAATCTGGCGACCTTTGTGGCTGCAGGTGGCCATCTGGTAATGTGGATAGCAGCTTGCTATGGAAAACCACTAGAAATAGGCAAAACATGGCAAAACATCCATAAAATGATGCACCATTTTCCATTGGTATCGTTTATATATTGGGCCCACAGTGATACCATATTTTGGAAGATTGGGAAAGCTGCAATTCCGGTGAATCTGAATGGATCATTTGACGAATTCGCGGCAGGTCTTCCATCGCAACCGAATGCAGTGACTTTGGTGTCGCAGTCCAAGACGAACATTTCGGTCTCATGGACGGTGCCCGACAACAATGGTGCTGACATCTATCAGTCGGGGCTCTTGGTGCTTGGGCGGAGTTCTGGGGAAGCCTAGTAATTTCACACTTGAATCTTTTGAAATAAATGCAAAGGAATATCATATCCAGCTATATTTATTTGCAGGGATATGATCTAAGTGTAGCCATCTTGCTGGGTGATTTAAGCAATTGGAGCAATACAACGACTTCTTCTCTGGGGTTCGAAGGACCACATTTTTTGGGGCGCAAAAGTCAATTCCAACCATTCCAATCATTCCAATCATTCCAATCATTCCAATCATTCCAATCATTCCAAGCATTCCAAGCATTCCAAGCATTCCAACCCCTGAAGCCAAGATGACTCTGCTGGCCCTTGCACTTTGCCCAATGTAGGTTTGTCTGAAAATAGGGGAATATAATATACTCCAATTGGAACCTTTTCTGGGGCATCCTATTTTCAGACAACGCCATATATCATATTGTTGTTAATGTTATATATATATATATTCCATTCAGCTCCATGAAATCCCATTCATGTACGATTTTAATGTCCATTCATATCCCAAAAAGCCTCTGGTAATTTAACATATGGAAAACGGTCCATTTATCTACTTCGATGATTTACCTATTAGTGCAAAACCGGTTCTCCCAGGTTCATTCTGCGCAGGGACGATGGCTTGGGCGGCGGCATGACGCAGATCTACCGTCCCAACGCACAGCACCAGTTGGATCTTTTTTTGGGGAAAGGGGTGAACCATGTGGGCCAGTTGCGACCACCAAAATTTGAGAAAAATGCGTGTTTTTTGTGATTAAGAATCTTTGATGAACGGTTTCAATATCCCCTATGTCATCATTTTTGATATTTGGCAATTCATATATCCATCAATCCATCAATATTCCATTAATCTCCGTTCATCTCCAAATAAATCTGAGGATATTAAGGTGATAATGGATATAAGCTAATACCCATCCCATTCATATCCCATATAAATATCCATACATATCCCATATACTGTAGATATCCCATATTAGTATCCACTAATAGATATATATATATATATATATACCAATTAATATCTCATGAATATCCATTGAATAGAAATATGTATGCCCATTAACAACCCATAGAAATATCCCAGTCATTTCCATAGACATAATATTCAATGGATTGGCTTAAGGGAAAATCGAGAGGCAACCATGATCATTAATATCCCATGAATATCCCATTAACATCCCATTAACATCCCATATAACAATTAATATCTCATATCCCATTCATATCCATTGAACAGAAAGAAATTGGGATATCCAATAGATATTCTGAGGGTTGTTTTCTGGATATATGAATGAAATTGGGATATCCAATTAATATCTCATAACTATCCCAGTGAAAAACATCCCATAGAAATATCCCCAGGTGGTGCCGCCACGAGTTTCCAGAGCAGCGACTTGGCGACGGGCCGTGACTTGGCTGACTTGGTGGATGGTGAGCCAACAGGTTCTCCGGGAGAAAAGGTGGATTGAAGGTGACTTACCAACCAATCATCATGGGAAATCATGGGAATATATATATATATATATCTATATCATATATATATAACACATGTATATATATATATATATATGGGATTTAACTGAAGATGAAGCAACCAAGAAACCAAGAAATCAAGGGGAGATTTTGGGATTTAACCACCGCTAATACGGATTTTGGGAGGATTTCAGATGATTTGAGGCTTGCGAAAAGATCTGGAAATCAAACCTGACTGGGAAATCCCAACATTTTTTTTCGGTGAACATCATATCATCGAACCGAGGCTAACCGCAGGGATAAAATGCTCGATGAATCAACGGGTTAGCCCCAAATTTCATGGTTTTTCACGCGGGACCTTTACGAAAGGTGCCAACAAGATGGGGGGCAAATCCGGCATTTTCAGACAAAGTCAGCTGATAAATGGCTGATAAACTTCAACTGAACCATCTGGATTACGCTGGTCAAATTGATAAGATTTTGCAGAACCCCATGAGTATGAGGCTACTATACCTTCTCTGTAGCTGCGCGGAATGCCGCAGGCAGGCACTTGCCGGTTGATGTGTCACATGTGTCCCATTGTTTGGGGATCGTCCACATCCCCTTGTTGATGATGATGATGATGATTATGATGATTATGATTGGTTTCACATCCCTACTTCATGGCCAAATTATTCTTACTTTGCCTTTTCGCCAGCCATTTCGCCACCCGTTTTTCCACCAGGGGAAGGTCCTGAGAGCGTGGGTCAACGCATCCTGTCGGCCTCCATGCCCAGTCCTGTGGGACAGCCGGGAGAGCCCAGCAGAAAGGTTTGGGGTTGGAACATTTAGTGAACGTCACTTCAGCAAATTCCAAATCCAAGTCTAAATTGTCAACATTTTCCGAAAACATCTAATCAGATCTAACCCGCTTTTTTTGGGATATTCATAGTTCATCACCTCAAAATAAATCACCTTAGCCATGCCACCAGACCCCCTGGACCCCTTTTCAGGCCGGTGCTCATCAGCAGCTCTTGCTCCGGCGGGTCAGTCACTTTGAAGTGGACGGTGCCTGAGGACCCCCCAAGAGATGCCGAAAAGTGAGATGGATCATAGATGCATCACACTGATCTTGAGATTATTGAAGTAGGATTTGACTTTTCGATCTTTTTTTTGGATTGCTATTTGTTTACATATATATATAGCCCGTTGTAGTAGTCACCTTCCCCCTAAAAAAAGTGAGCCTCCACGGCCAGGACGATGGCGGCTGCCCGGTGACGCGCTACCGCATCCTGCGGGACGACGTGGCCACCGGTACAGAGGTCGCTAGACACCAACGAAGTTCGCTCTAGAAGTGATCACATCGTCATGGATTCTTATTACTAGTGATTATGATATATTATATATATAACTAGTGATTGATTATTAATGATTGATGATTCATTATTAACTATTATTAATGATTGATTATTAACTAGTGATGATGATGATGATGATGATGATGATATATATATATATATGTATATATATATATGGGGTCCCATTTCCACAAGATCAATATAGATCATCTAGATCTATAGTCAGCTGATTGGTGGTTTGGAGCGTGGCTTTTATTTGTCCATTCAGTTGGGAATAATCATCCCAATTGACTAATATTTTTCAGAGGGGCTGAAACCACCAACCAGTAATTATTGATTATCAACTAGTAGTTTTATGATATATATATAATATAAATTTGGTTTTCCATCCCTCCAAATCAGTACCAGAAACGCCAGAAACTCTATGGGTCAAGGGATGTCAAGGGTTGCACGGCAGGTGCCATCGACCACCATCAGCTACTTCACTCCAGGCCGCTGAAGACACACCTTTTTTTTTGTGGATCGGATCGCGACAGATCATCTGGCAGATTTTTGGCAGGTTTGGAATGTGCCACCACATATCTCTGGAGCATTCAAGCAAAGCTGGGCGCTCAAATGTGGGATGCTTCCATCGAAAGCGGCGAAACCAAAAAAAAATGCCACCCAAAATGTGACTGTTCCAGACCAGCAAAGGGGGGCAAAATCCCAAACGGTGTTCATCAGGATACACTTTGATACCTTTGGTACCCGCTGTTTTTTAATCATGCCGTTTTCATGGGGGAATGGAAACGGACGAGGCCATGGATGGAACATGGAAACGAAGCACCTTCAGTTTTTTCTTCTGGAAACCATAGGTTTCTATTTTGTGGGGGAAACATGAATCACTCATACTAAATCAAACATAGCTAACCAGTGCAAATCGAAATAGAAAGGACGCAACAAATCACCCAATTTATTGCAAAATAGTGAAAGTCATGATACCCTCTGGTAAACTGTCCCATAACTATGGAAAATCACCATTTTCAATGGATAAATCCACAAACTAAATCACCATGTTCAATAGCTTTTTGTATGTTTACCAGAGGGTAAATCATCAGAATCTTCGAACAACTCACATTTTCCCATGGCTTTTTCCCAATGGTCCAGGAATTGCCTGGACACCTGGGGCAGCGATTCGCCTTACCTGGAGACCTATACGGCCTCCTTGCCGGGGCAGGTCACCGGCTTGAACGCCGGGCACGCCCAGCTACCCCAGGCGGCTGTTTTTTTTTCTTTCTTTTTTTGGTGATCAACTTGTTGATATCCCATTTTGGATGGTTTTGAGTAATTTTGAGTATACTTTACTATCTATAAACTGACTAGTGACACTAGTCATGATGATTTACAATGAATTCTTGTACCAAAAAATCATGATCAAAGGTACCATCCCAAGCATTCTGAGCCATCTCGAAGCTTGCTGAGGCCACCCACGTGTCATCCACAGAGTTGCTCTTCAATTGGCTGCCCCTTCTGGGTGCCACCGAGTGGGAGGCTCAAGGTTGCGAATTTTGCTGGGACTCGGGGTCAACAAATAAAGGGCATTTACGTCTAAAAATTATGCATGGTTCATTATTTAATATTATTTATACATGTAAAAAAAATGTCACAGCATATACCTATAGATCCACCCCCATATATTTGAAGATCCATATATTTCCCGAGATTTACCAACATCCGTAGAGGTCTTGATCCATGCCAGGATCGGTTCCACGGATTTCTCCATCTTGAAGGGTTACGAGCTTTGGATGGACGACGGCCTTGGAGGTGAAAATCCCCATGGGTTTTGATGAAGCACCATGGCCATGTGGAAAATGATGTGCATCACAGAAATGATTTGTTTTTTTAAAGATCGCAGCTGAATTTTTGCTGGAAATTTGAAGGGTTTGGCACCTGCCGTGAATTCTCTCTTGAGCATTCGACATGTGAACAGTGATCAACATTTGTTCAGCAAGGTCTTTCGCCTTTCAACCAACCAGTGACTTCAGTGGTCGCAGGAAAGTTCAGCCGAAGCTATGATGGCTACAACAAGCCCTTCGAGACCTACTTCGTGGCCACTGGCCTGGTGTTGGGAGCCTCAGTCCCCAGCTTCGAACGAAAGGTTGCCATTTGCATCCTATTTTTGAGTCGCACCGTTCAAAATAATGATGGTTCCGCTATACTTGTCCACGCTATTCCCATTGTATTTCCATCATGTTCCAACAAGATGTGGTTGGGCTTCCCATGATCTTCCCGTTAGATTCCCATCATCTTTCCACATGACATCCCACTATAGCAATGAAATGGGTGGACTGTATCCCGCAAGGTGAAGTCCCCCCCAAACGATAGCTAAGTTGACGCAAATAACTTATGGTTAACGTTTGGGTTGAGGGGGATGTAACGAACTAGTTAATGGGTTTGTAAACCATCTTATAACTATATCCATCTATATCCCACATGATCCCACTACCTTCCCACACAATTTTTCCACCATCCCAGCGATTTCGCAGGCCAGGGCGTGTCTACAGATCCTACGTGCGCGCCTTGAACCTTGTGGGGGCCGGTCCTGATTCTGACGTGCCGCCGGCGAAGTGGAAAGGGACGGTTGGGATAGGGTTGACCACTTAAAAAGATGAGGATTCTGTGGCGATTCTATGGTTATATATGATTATACGATTATTATGTGATTATATAATATGATTATATATGATCATATACATGATTATAGATGATTATAATATACATGATTCATGATTATTTGATGGGCAACTAATCACTAACAATACTCAACACAGGACGATGGATCATTGATAATTCCTTCCAGAAAGCGTGGTTTTATCGGGATGAAACCACATGTTTGGGTCCATAGAATGGGGGTGTTCAATATTAAAAGTGACTGATTCGTAGGATTTTAATGGTGTTTTAACCATCGACGAAATAGAGGTTTCAAGCGTCAAAACGTGGGGAGGATTTTTTTCATACACTCCGGTGTCATCCAACTGAACGGTTATTTAAATGGGAAAAATATACTACCATCATCTACCATCTGGTTATGACTAACATAGCCATGGAAAATCCACCATTTTTAATAGGTAAACCCAGGTAAACCATCTATAAATGGGCCATTTTCCATGGCTATGTTAAATAACCAGAGGATTTCCAGCAAACCATGTTTGATTACCGGAGGGTACATTCTATCATATGAGCGTCACTCGAGAGTTGTCGGATGTCTTGTTCCAGTGGTTGATAATTCATGTGGACCTAGTGTTTGTTCCTCTTCGTTATAAGGCGGCACGCAGGCAAATTCAACAATTCTGCAAGGCAGCGCTAGCAAATCGGCTAGTTCTGCGCTAGGCTTGTTCACATTCATGTTCAAAGATTCATTTTCCAGTTCCTGAATGCTTGTTATTTCAACATATGTTCTTCATAGGATGGAATTCTGAATAGATTCTCTTTGTTAAAGCCCAGTCCAAACAGGTTCATATTGTGGAAAATCCACAATTTTTTATATACAGTAGATGGTTTGCTAAGGAACACTGAAAGGTTTTCCATATCGATGTCAGTTTACCTCGCAGCATCATCATTTTATGTATCATCCAGCCATAATAGGTACGTTATAGTAGAATATGGTTAAAACCTCTGCTTACCCAAAACTATAGTTATATACTCTGCTTAAAACGCTATGATTTACCACCATTTTCAGGGGATGAAGATATAAATGACACACCTTGTTTTGAGCATCTTGCATAAAAGCTATTGTGGACCATTACCGTCCGAACTACAATTGATGGTCATTTTTTTTTGGGAAAACCTGTAACTCCCAGCGATTTTGATTTTCGCCAGGTCCTCTACAGAGCCATGGCGGTAGAACCTTCAGCACCCAGTGACTTGCAGGCGGGCTGCCCCAAGATTTTTTAAAGCTGTTTTTGGATGCCGATAGAAGGCTGAAAGGTGCCTTTTTTCCGTCTTGGACTTGAAGCTTTCACCTTCCTGGCCTCTGCAACTATGGAAAAAAAACACCGGGCTTTTCCTAGGTGGGGTCAAAACCACTTCAGGTAGGATCTTCTCGCGGATCAAATTGCTGATATTTTAAGCCTCACATTGCTGATATGTTTTAGTTTTTTTTTCCCTTAAATACAAATGTTCGGAAAGTCAAAAATACAAACCATCATTTTTATTCCTATATAGCCTATATAGCCTATATTTGTATATATTCATTATTCCATTGATTAATATCTAATATAGGGGCGACGGAATTTCCATAGCAGTTTTAAGAGCAAAGTGGTTGGTGCCTTTGTCCACGGCCAGGTGGTGACAGCAGGTGCTGACACCGTGCTGTGCAGTTGGAAGCCACCGCAGGACAGTTGATCAGTTGATCCCGTGATGTCGAAGGCGAAGATGTTTCATTTAGACTGCCCTGAAACCTGGAATTATCATGAATTACCATCTGGTTATTTAACATAGCCATAGAAAATCACCATTTTTAATAGGTAAACCATCTATAAATGGGTCATTTTCCATGGCTATGTTAAATAACCAGATGGTATCCGTATACCTGACTGGTTCGTGGAAGTGTCATCAGAAGGTGCCAAAGCTGGAATTTTCGATGTAGATTTTGAAGACATCTGTGACATGTTTGATGAGGATGATGAGGATGGGCTTCAAACATTGGCAGATTCAAAATGTGCCCATTCGCCTGTCGTCGCCCATCGAGGACAATGGTGGTGAGCCGGTGCTGCATTACGTCTTGGAGTATGCCCCGGAGCCGCTCTTCAACACCTGGCAGGACGTGGTCAAACACTGCGACCAGTGACCAACCAATGTGGCCAAACAGGCCAAGTGTCTCAGTGTCTATATGTGTCATACTTAAAAAACTCTGACTGCAACATGTTTGGACCCCACCATCTATCACCATCTATCACCATCGTTTTCCGCAGGAAGATGGGCCTTACCCGGACAATACCCAGCCGTTGCCTCAGTTGCCTCAGAGACGCCGGGACGCCGAAAAGAGCCTCAGCCTCTGTCACAAAGATCTTCCGAGGTTCACCAAGCAGATCTTCAATCTGAACCAGGGAACTGTGTGATCTCCCCAGCTGCTGTGATATCCCAGGGCTCCAAAAAAAGGGCGATGACCTGGGAAAGAGTGTGCCACTTTTCCCGATTAGAATGGCGATTTTGAATGATTTTGAGGTATACCCACCATTTCTGGACAATACCATACAAAACCCAAATGATCCAAATGCCATGATCAATTGTTGGTCCTACATCCCAATAAAATATCCCATGAGCTGCCACACAGACTGGTTTGCTTTCCCCCATTTTCCCATGTTTGAAATTGATGAAGTTGCCACAACTTGGGCGGGATGCTTCGATGGCAGGTACCAGTTCCGAATCAGGGCAGTCACCAATGCAGGAGGCGTGGGAGGGAACTTGGGGGATGCGGTTCCCTTGCAATGGTGACAGGGTGGGTAAATCTCTCACCAATCATTGAGCTGGATTGAGCTGGAAGTTGGACAGGTGGGACATCTGTGGATACCATGAAAAAAACCACATGATTTACCACATGATTTAATCTCCATGTTTTACTCTCCATGTTTTACTCTCCATGTTTTTTTTGTGATTTCCCCAGTTGCGCACTGGTCCAGTTTCTCACTGTCCAGTGGTCCCATCTCAGGTGGCTCCTATTCCAACATCGTGTCCCAGGTGGTTGGCACCGCTGCAGCCTTAGACGACTTGAGGGGATAGGATTTGGGGGAGCGATTTTGTATAGCGCAAGTGGAATGACAAACAAAAATCAAAAATGGAAAACACACCATATATATATAATATATATATATAATATTATAAATGCCATTTAAGTTTGAAACTATAGATTTTACCAGGAAGTCGAATGCCTCCAGAGTTTTAAGAGTTGTTCTATTCATGTCCTGGTGCTGTGTCCAAAATCAAGACAGTGAAGTGAACAGTGACCAGTTGTCCCTAGTTGGTTGGTGGTTCTATGACTTTGCTTCGAAAGTAAAGACCTTTGGAGCAACATATTTTCTGCAGATTCAACAGCAACAACTCACACGTATTAACCATCCCATTTCTTTTTCTAAACAGGGGTATCGGTATCCATTTTTTTGACCAACCAGCCTGTGGGCCTTCAATTTTTGGGATCCCCAGATGACATCCTTGAGGCGCCCACCATGGCCCCTAGTGGCCTCACCCGTGCGTCTACGACCTCGGCTGGGGAGCCCTGGGGTTGACCATCGAGCTGATCATCATTTTTTGAAATGAAATTTGTTCAGGGTTTGGACCTCATTTTCAGACATACACTTGGAAACATTGGGGGATTGCTCGGTCCTGAATTTGAGCAGAGAACCCAAGGTTTTTGACATGCTTTAGATGGATTTTTTTAAGGGATCATGGCCGGAAAAATGAGGGTCTTCATGGGGAAGATATTCATCAGATCAATGATTACTCCGTGGGAGTTGGATACCCTCCGGTAAACTGTCCCATAACTATGGAGAATCACATTTTTTCATGGGAAAATCCACTATTTCTATGGCCACTTTCAATAGCTATTTTGACATAACCAGAGGGTAGTGATTTTCCCTATCCTGATGGCTTGGGGTCAGCAACTCAGGTATCTCTTACCTGGGCCTGGCTGCCACTGGGTGTGTCAGAGGCCACTGAACTGTTGATGTTCGGAGCGTTGTTTGTTGTTTTTGAAAAGGCCCTCCGGTAATTCAACAGAGCTATGGAAAATGGCACGTTTATAGATGATTTACCATGATTTAGTTATTTTGAATGATGATTTTCTATAGCAACCTTACATTACCAGAGGGGTAGCCCCAATTTCTTCAAACTGAATGAGCACATCCGACATCCATGTGTAAGATAGGCCAAACTTCGACTCTTCAGAAGATCTTGTTTGATTCCTCCGAAATTCTGGTCCCAAGTCCTGGTGACGACTTGGACTTCCCCGCAGACTGGTGGTGCTCCGCTGGGTGGCTATCGCCTTTACATGAACACTGGTCGCGATGTCGGGGGACCTCAACCACCCTGCCAACAACAAAACCGTCGGGATGGTGACCAGCCATCGAAATGGTGATTTTGGGGATGATTGGGTGTACCAAGGTTTACCACATCGGCAATGGTGTTTTTTTTTGGTTGTTTTTCCGAGGCGAATTTTGTGGGGTCCACAGGTCAGGTGTCCATTTGGTCTGGGTTTTCCAAGACGATTTAGCTATGGCAGCTATGGGCCATGCCGGTTGTGTGCCTCCAAGGACGTGACAGCCTTGGTCTATGATGGCAGCGACAAGCCTTCAGTGGGAGACTCTGATGGGCCTTCGGTGGCAGAGATTTAAAAAAGCAAACTATTCATCCTACCGATGATGATATCGGTATAATTAGACATAATTACTTAGTATAATATAATGAGATGAGCATCTATTCGCTATAGATTTCGCAGATTCATATTCATATATATATATATATTCATCAACCATCATCAACCTATGTGTGCCATACTCACTGTTCCAACTTGACCCCACCTGGGATGGTGATCCCAACACCAACATCTACCGCAACCAGGCCACGGAGTACACGGCCACATCGTTGGTGTGCGGGCGAATCTATAAGGCACTTGGTGAACCAAGGGGTGAATCTGAGCTAAGCAACGGATGCGGCAACATGCGGCAACAGTTTTCCATGGTTTTCCATGGTTTTCTGGGGATATCTGGGGATTCTGAGATATGGAGGCTTCCCAAGTCATCAAGTCATGGTATCCCCTTGAATCATCCGTTTTAGATGGGGATTTCCCATGATTTTCCATGATTTTCCATGAACTAAACCATCCAGCTATTGGGGTATCCCCATTGAACCAGACGTCACCAGGCCGAAGTGTCGGCGGTCACCAGCATCGGTGAAGGCGCCAGGGGCGAACCGTTTTTTTTTGGATGTTGGAGATGATCCATAGCTCATACCCTCCGGTAAACTGTCCCATAACTATGGAAAATCACTATTTTTAATGGGAAAATCCACTATTTCTATGGCCATTTTCAATAGCTATTTTGACATAACCAGAGGGTAATTTCCAGGTTGAACGAATTTCTATTCGATTCACACACACACACATTTAACTGTTGAACTAGTCAAAGGTGGGAGGTTTTTGTCAAATTTTAAATGGACTCAAGCAAAAGTCATGGTATACTCCCCTCATCCTGTGAGTAGCAGTTGCTATGACTAGACCTTCAGCCTTCGCAGCGTGATCCATCAGGTCCCAAAAGTGCCATCGCAGCCTTCAAGCTGGCGCGCACACCCTCGCAGCCCGGGGAGCTCAGGGAACCTGAGATGAGCTGTAGGATGCTGTAGGAATCTCCTTGGGCTCAGCAAACATGTCCATCCGGATATTGGAAACTTTTCCATACTTTTCCATGATAGAGTCATAGAGTTCTATGATTTGTATGATTTGTTTATATTTGTTTTGGGGCGGAAGGTTACCATCGATATTTTGCTATTTCTACAAGCGAGCTGCTTAGGCCCCGTTCAGCACGGGTGGTGGCAAGCAGCACTGGCTCCATTACGCTCGTTGGGGAGCTACAGTTGTGGTGATTCGTTGAAAAATATGAGAGGCCAGTTACAGCAGAACGAAATATGGTGCACCATATATGTGCTATTTTGGTGGTGAATCACTGGGTCGTTGTCTGAAAATGGTGTAGATGACATGGAGTTGAGATTAGGTCCATTGGGTTCCTTAATTACCCCAATTATTGGTTGGTTTTCCTATGTTTTCCTCATATTCACTGCTAGGTTATACTCTTTCGCAGCAGGAAGAAGCTCCCACAAACAGTGCTAAAATTCGGTGAGTTTGTTGATTTTGAGTCCCATTGGGTGTGGGGGTGCAGTAGTAGTGAATTCCCAAGCTTGGTACATAAAGACACGTTTGAGGGTAAAACTGAAGGTTTCTTGTAGATTTTGTGAAACAACTTGAATCTATTGATTCGAGGTGGCTCAAGCACCAACCAGCTAGCAGTAAACTAAGATAGATATGGACATTCCATGACATTCCACTATGAAAGTCGATCATTTCCAGGGGAAACCACCATGGATTTCTATGGCTACACCTCCATCCTTATCATTTCCACGGCAAAGACCTCGGGGGGGATCGGTGTCACCTCCCCCAAGGCATGGGATATTCCAGAGAGCACCGGATGTACCGAGCTGCAGTTGGGAAACTAAGATCCCGCTGGGATTTCTGCTGGATTTCTGAGTGCTCCAGAGATGATGCTTTTGATCAAATCCCGTGGCTGGTAAGGGCTGGTAGTTACTATAGTTAGTGTTTATTTCTTAGATTTGCTTTCAACCTATATTTCGGATGGATGGCTTAAACAAATTTATGTACCACCCAATACAGGTGGTTGATAGCAAACACGAAACGCTTTGTGGGTCCATTGATACCCCTTTCTCAACCCATACCCATATCAACTTGTTGGTTATATCAAGTTATATCCCACTAACAATCGCTGGGTTGTAACCCCATTTTTTTGCTCGCAAGCAAACCAAGCAAACCAAGCAAACCCATTGTTTAACATGTACAGATGTTCAACACCCTACCATATATCGATATCTAACCATACATTTGCTTCCCTATCTAAACATACACTTCTTTCCCTATTAAAGAAGAAACAACATGGATAATCCCTCAAACTTGGATGGCTTATGATGGCTTATGATGGCTTGATATACGATCACCAGGACTGATCTTGGGGCACTCCCCACGTGAACCGGTCAACCCCCATGCCTGGCTTGTTTCAGACGGCATCGAAGCCTGGCCATCGAGGTACTACCGCATCGAACGCGATGCTGGACAGGGCTTTGAAGCCATTGCCAATGTGACCACGCCTGTCCAGAGCTACACCGATGCAGACTCCTTGAGGTTGGAAATAATGCGAGATAATGCGATAGCGCTGTTGATTGGTTGTGATGTTGGGGTTTAAGGATGTTTGAAGGAAACAAGTTTTTGATTCAACCAGATCTGAAGTTCACTGGGTTGTTTGGTTATAATCATGTTCAAACCCATAGACATGGGGATTAAACAAACAAAATGGAGACAGATCCGATGTTGCATCGCATCGTTTGATGGTGGATCTGACATTTGTTGCGATGCAAGGTAGATTTTCATTGTCCTTGCATAACTTGGTCGTATGTTTGCGTTATTTTTAAATCTGATCCCCAGAATTGTAGGGAATTTGAAACAGTAATCCCCAATCATTTTGGGGTTAATTTCACAATGCTTTCCCAGATTTGGTGGTAAAAAGTAAAAACCATTGTTTCAACCATAAATCATGATCTAACAAACCAATCCATTGAGAGATACTGCCAGCCCTTGTGCCAGTCCGGGACAAATGTACATCTACCGCATCGCTGCTCGCAACGATGCCCTCGAGTATTTTGGGCCTCACAGTTCTCATGCGGCTGCCTTAGAACTGGGAAGTTAAATCGCCAAGGGCACAGGGGATGATATAAACGATATAAGCTATTCATGATATTCATATTAGTAAAGCAATAGGATCCACCATCCTCAGTTTTACCATGTTCATGCGTGGTATAAGCCATCAAAACATGGGTGGTTTAAATTATGGCTTTACTAACACTACATTCTCGACCAAAGCAGATTTCCAACTGGCTGTGGCAGATGCCTCGAGGTGACAGCCTTCGCTGCCTCTTTGCCGGGCATCACGCGAAATTTGGGCTATGTGGCCTCAACCAGGCGGGTTTACAGGGTTTTCTCCCGATTTTTCGATGGTTGGATGGTGGTTGGGATGGTTGTTGTGGTTAAAAGGTGGGAATGTGGCAAACTCGACCACCGCCCCAGACGGTTTACCCTCTGGTAAACTAACATAACCATGGAAAATCACCATTTTTAATGGGAAAATCCACTATAAATGGCCATTTTCAATAGCTTTTTGTATGTTTACCAGAGGGTATCGCTGTGTTTGCCACCCAAATTTTCCATGGCGAGTCAACCCTTTCCAGGACCTCCATCACGCTGATGTGGGAACCTCCAGCTGATTCAGGAGGAGTCAGGAGCTCAACTTTAGTGGACCATGGATTTTTTTTGGGGGGTGAACTGGTGAACGTCCATAAATCCCTGAAAACCTAAGACTAAGACTATCCCCGCAAAGCAATGGTTTAGTAGGGGAATTCACACAGAATATTTGGGGCTGGGATGTTTATGAATTATATTTAATTATGAATTGGATGGGATTGAGATGGATTGGGCAAGGGGATATGAAACTATGATATAACTAACAGATGACACAGCTATAGCAGCCGACCATCCATGAGTGCTGCCAAGGCCTTGGTGGATTTCTACCGCGTTCAAGCGGACGATGGCTTGGGAGGAGCTTTCCAAGATGTGGCCGTGGTGGCGGGCACCTACACCACCGTGGAGTGCGGATCCTGTGGGAAATCATCCAAGGTTTAGTGGGAAAGCCATTTACTATAGATGGGGGGGAGATTGAATTGCCATCTTTACCAGAGGGTAACAGTAAAAACCATGGTCGGTTTGGTAGCTTTCTCTGAAGATGTAGGGAAAAAACAACGAACCCAACGTGTTTTTTTTGGGCCCCTGGGCCCCCTGAGGTACCTGACCATGGGCCGACCCTATCGCTTCCGGGTGGCAGCAGAGACGGTGGTGGGCACCGGGCCGTACACGTCGGTCTTCCAACAGGCGAGACGGTGGGGCAACCGACACGAACCATTTGACGGAGATATTTGTATGGGGATATAGTGATATTAAGTGGGGATGTAGTGGTAGTGGGAATATTTGATGGACATATGATAATATAGATATATAATCATTTATAAATATGAATATATATATATATATAAATATGAATAGATCTATTTGAAGTTTGCAACTATAACTGACAAGGCTTCATCTTACGGAGGTTCGGATTTTTTGTTTCCTCTTTCCAAGTGACCAGAAGGGGATCACATCGGATGAAGCTCCCAGGGTTTTTTTCGCTCCAGAGGTGGTAGCGGCAGTACCTGGAAATCCTCAAACTCCCTTGGTGGAAGCCTCATTTCGCCATAGATCCTGAAATTGGAAGGCTTTCTGTGGTAAAAGAAGTATAGGATAGTACAAAAAGTATACAGACAATGGCGATTTGGGGATGGTTTCTGCAGTTTGGCTTTCCAACCATTCATGATATTCACGGCATTTCACGGCCGTTTTGGGGATTTGGGGAGAGTTTCCCTCGATTGAATTTTTGGGACAGTTGAAAGAACTCACATACATCACAGGCGTAGGATTTTTCAACTGCAGCCAGACATCCGCCAGCCGAAACTAAGGTGGAAACGGTAGCTGGATACACGGAGTGCCGGGATGTGATGCGGTGTTCGATGATCTTCCCAGCTACAAACCTTCATTTGGTTCGGGGATTTTCCCTCTAGACACGTTTGATGACACCAGAGGGTATCAAAAAAATATTCCCATATCTTTTGAATTCTTTCGCTGGTTGAAACCTCTATTCAGTAGATTATTTTCCCAACAAGAAAGCCATAGAACACATTGGATCGCTTGAAACGAACTGGGACTCTTCCTTTTTCTGCCCATGGCATAGTTTTTCATTAGGAAATTATCTCTACAGGCTGGTGGCGCAAATTTAAGTTATAAGTTGGTTTATAATCCCCCTTAACTATAGATATATCCACCATAAACCACAGTTAACCTGGATATAAACCAACTAATCTAAATCCCATCGAAATCCCAGCAAACTACCATTAAATCACCATGAACTCCTGAGAAATCCCAGGACCGTGTGAAAGTGACCTGGAACGAACCCCTGGACAACGGAGGATCCTTGACGCCCCGGGGCCCAGAAGATGGAATGCTGAGAAAGTTTTGAAGCCACCCAAAAATAGACTAAAGACCTAAGAATCAAGAGTTCCATGAAACACATCCCAAAAAATCACCATGATCCAGCCCAAATCCAGAATTTCCCAGAATTTCTATGCAAACTTTCCAGCCCGCCCTGCGGCTGACGGCCCAGGTTGGGGTACAAGGTGACCTTCGATGGCTTGTGTGACCGCTACGACGGCACCAGCGTGTCGGCCTTGACCTCGATACAGATCATCTGCAGCACGGGGCAGTGGGGGTCCCAAGGATCCTGGATGGTGGGAACATTTCTTCGAAAATGGTGGGAACGTTTATTCTAGATTTAGGATGATTTAGGATGAATTAGGATGATTTAGGATGATTGAAGCATCTGAAAACATGGGGTTCTAAGTATCAAAACATGGGGAAAATCAATGATAAATAATATCATATATCAAACCTGGCTGGGAATTCCCGAACGAAGTTGGCATGGAAGTAGGAACATCATCGAAGTATTCCGGAGGGTAATTTGAACTCGGGAGGGGATGATTGGAATATATATATATATATATATATCCTAGGAATGATTATGATTAAAGGATTATGAATTGTGATTGTGATTGATATATCAAGGGGACTAAATCTCATCACGAATAAAAAATGGTGGCCTCACCATGAAAGATGGAGATTTTTCTCGGTTTTACCATCAAGCATGATCAACGTCGGAGGTTTTGCGATCAAACCTGGTGGTTTCACATGGTTTAATCATCCTGAAAAGGGGACATGTAGCCAGTATACTATTTAGATCTATTTAGTAACTCCCATATCATCCATATCGCCCCCCCAAATGAATAGATCAAATACTGAATCAGGTTTCTAGGAAGGATCAATGTTGGAATGATGGGGATGGGGTGGGAGAATCGTGGAGAGTTTGATCCTGGAAATTGGAAGCGTCATTTTCAAGGGGGGGTTGGGTTGAAATGGGATGGGATGGGTATAGTAATTATTCTCCCAACGATTTTTTTTTGAGGGATTGATGGGCCATGCCAGGCATCACCTGATTACTGTGTCAGCCCGGAACATCGTGGGCCCGGCGCCCCTGATGAACAGCTCACTATCATCGTTTCGAGTCTTCAACCATCAATTTGGGTAGGTGTATGCGGGTTTGTCATAAAATGTGCCAGTAATCACCAGCAAACATCTCTACACATATAAATAATATTATTATTATATATACAGTATGATAATATATATATATACACACATACTATAAATATACTACCATTATATCCCATTATTATATCCCCATGAAATCCCCATGATATCCCTGAGGCTGGGGTGGTCCGAGCCCCTCCGTGTCGCGCGTCTGTGGCGCGGAACCTTCCGTCCGAGACTCAGGGCGCTGAAGCAATTGGTGACTTTTGGCAACCCCCAAAAAGGATAGAAAGGGGCCATCCAATCCTAAAATTGTGTGAATTCACTTTTATATATATATATATATACACATGTATATGATGTTTCCATACATTGGTCCTTGTTTTTGAACCCAATGCACAAACCAGCGAGGCACCCGTAGATCTGCGGCTCCAGATGAACACGCCGCTGACGTGGGGTTTCCCCGAGGGGGGTTTCCCCAGTGGATCTCGCTCGCTGGATGGCCCGTCTACAGCGGAAACCATGGATTTTCATGGATTTTCCCATAGACCCTCTGGTAAACATACAAAAAACGATGGAAAATCAAACAACCAATTTTCAATGGGTAAATCCACTATTTCTATGGGCCATTTTCAATAGCTATGTGAAAAATTACCAGAGGGTAATATGGAGGGGTAATTACTGTCAATTTTCTTTTCAATCCACTGATCAAATGGTTTGGATTCATCGGAATCTCTGTTGCTCTAGAGTTGAAGTCGACGTCCCCAGTTTCGATCCATCGATTGTCTTCTAGCTGGTAACAATTTCGCTGCTGGTGGTTAGTTCAGGAAATGAGAACCAAGCCTGGCAATTGAAAATTCCTCATTTGTAGAGGATTCTCCTTTGTTCTTTCTCGTGAAATATAGGGGATTTCCAGTACCTGTATCGGTTACCAGAGGGTACATACATATATATATTATACGTATTATCCTCCGTGCTTGATGTAGTGTTTGTAATGTTCGAAAGTTCAAACATCAAGACATACTGTAACCACTTTTTTATGGCTGACATCCCTTGCTGCGTTCCACAGGCCCTTGGATATGGTGGACCAACGGACTCCCAGCTCAATGACCTTGACCTGGGACGTAACTCGGATGAAGACCTGGGCGGTTTTTTTTTAAGCATTTGTTGAATGTGGTAAAGCCAATTTGGAGGATATCTACATGGGATATCTTTAAGGATATGTTTGGGATATCTATGGGATATTTATGGGATATCTATGTAGGAGATGTTTAAGGATATTTTTGGGGGTATTTATAGGAAACACATGGGATATTTTGGGGATAATTGTGATAAATCAGCCTCAATTTTACAATGGAAATCCATCCCGGAATGAATGGGAAATCCTGACGTTTGATGGGAACATCATGTGCAATTTGATTTCGAACAGGAACATCATCTGTATCAATCTGAAGTTCTTCATTGTCAGGTTGATCCAGAGGATAGTCACCAGAAAAAAACCTACGTTCTGGGGATGTTTTGCTGGAAAATACTTACTGGTGCTTAGTAGGGAATGGATGGGAATGGGGGAATGGGATGATTATTGATAGTTGTTGTGGATCATTCCCGAAAATTCCCTGCTAAGCACCAGGAAGAATACGGACAGGTTTTCGGCATTCACTAACACTCAATGATGGAAGCAACTCACTGGGTCACCTCTCTGGCCTCCCACGAGGTACCCACGGTGGATGGCGGAGCCGCTGTGAAGTCGTATCAACTCTACCGAGATGTTTGGAACTCGGAACAGGTGGAACAGGTGGAAGAGGTGATTTCTCAGTTTCAGCATCTATTCAACTTCATGAAGTGCTTTTTTGGGAAGGGTAACATCAATGTGTTTTTTTCGCGAAACTGCGATTGGTTGTGATTGCTTATCCACTGTTTAAGAGAGAGATCCATCTAATGGAAAATGCAAATTCTAGGCGAGTTTAGTGCAAGAAGGAGGGTTTTTGAGAACGAATTGGGTGCGTTCTCACGAGCAAATCATGGGTCGATTGGCTGGTCATTTCTTGATTGGGTTCACCAGCCACGGGATCCCATGATAAGTCCCAGGGGATCCCCTTGCAACCCAGACCTAATCTGAAAATCCATCATTTGTAGATGACGTGCCTCCACAATCCATCACTTTTCCAATGGCGAAAACCTATGGGCCATTCATATTTGGGCAGCATCAACAGCATCAACATCCATTAATCCCAGCGATTTTGTGCTGAACCTATGGGGTTCCATGGAGGTTCACCCCCTTTCCACCAGGCGGGAGATGCCTCTGGTATTTATACCTTGACCTATGTTGCGAGCTGAGCTCAAGGTTCAGGGTACTGAAGAACTTCTGGTTGATTTTGGATGACTTAAAACTTTTGATGCCCCAGTCTGATCGGGCCACTAACAGAACCAGGTGGGAACGCAGAGAAGTGCCACCATTGGGTCATTGACCAATGGACGCACATATCGCTTCTATGCAGTGGCTGTGAATGATGTCCGAAGACCCAGCGGAGGAACTGAGCTGAAGCCAACTGCAGGTGAATGCGCCCAGCTACAGCCACTACCCCAAAATGAAGATCCTCGGGCGGGTCCAAAACCTGCTCTTTTCTTGCTGGCCATCTCCATTTTCCCATTAAAACGCCATAAGCAATGCAATTTTGGGAGATGACAAGCATAAAAAGGTTCAAAAACAGATTCTATGAACATCTATGAACTATGATGATGTCAATTTCGAGATTCATGAACAGGAACATCACATAATATACATCATCATTTTCCTCAAAAAAAAATGAGTGACTTTTTCCGGGTCGAAGTCCCACTTTTCCGGCGACGGCGACCCAGCTTGCCGAGGTGGGCGCGGGCGAGCGCACCAGCGTCTTTGCGGCTGAGATGCGATGCACTCCGAGAACCCTGGTGGCTTCACCCTACAAGGTGGACATCCAGTGATATCCAGTGGAACGGTGGGAGAAATGGGGGTTTTAGCTGGGAACATCATCGAAAATGGAGGTGCTGATGGGAAAATCATCGAAGTATGATCAGTTAAATTATTGTCCATTTTTTTTTTTGTGTGGTTAAACACATTGATAAATCAGGATAAGTTGACATTATTCATTCGGCAACCTGAAAGCTTCGGTCATTTTGGGATAGAAAAAAAACCATTCCTCTTCCCATCATTACAGGGACGTCGCAGGGGTCGGTATTTTTTTCATCCAAATAAATGCTGGATTCTCTGTATCTCACTCACAACGGTGGCTAGCGGCTAGCCCATTATATCCAGTTGTATCCCATCATATTCCCTTCACTTTTTGCTTAGAATTTAACGTAATTAGCTCTGGAAAGTAGCTCATGTATAGATGATTTGCGTATTACCTATTAAACATGGAGATATTAATCACTAGTAATCTTACAAGTGATTCGATCATAGATTCATCACATCACTAGTAATTCATGAGAAATCATCGAAATGGGCCATGTTCCATAGAGTAAACTCTAGAAACATTCTAGAAACTCACATTTAGAGGGTATATTCCCACATTAGTTCAATGATGTTCCCATTTAGTTTGATGATTTTCCCAGCTAAAACGCTCCTTTTCTTGGGAGATTTTCCACCTTTGACTCGGCCAGGTCTCTGGAAGTCCCTGGTCCATTTCTCTGGCCTGGCCTGAGACAGCCGACAACTGTGGTCGAGCTGTGTTGGGGCGACCTGGGGGTCGAGCTGGGGGGTCTTTTGCTGGGGTTTTTGGGGAGAGATATTTGGGGGAAGTAAGTTTTGAGATCATGTTTTTGGATTTTTGGATGTTTTTGGATACCTCCTTGCTAACAGTCAGACTCCATCTTGCCACTGAGGTCGGGATACCGCGTGTACCGTGACAGCTATCTGATCTATCCACTCTCCAACGGCTTTGTTGGAACACCAACGGTGGTTGGAATGTTAGGCCAGGCAATGTCCAAGTGTTCTTTTCTTTCGATTTTTTTGGGATTTTTGTAATTTTTTCTGGTAGATCAACTATAAAAATCTATAAATGGATTATAAATGGATCATTTATAAAATCTATAATTAAATGGATTATAAATGGATCATTTTCCATAACATATTCAGCAGCTATTTTTTTCGATGACCTTCCCAGGAACCGATCAAGTCACGGTGGAGTTGACGGCTCAGAGTTCAGGATCCACCTGGGTTCGGGGCCTCGAAGTTGGGAGTTTCCGGTGGATGGGTCGTTTTCGGTGGATCTTTATGGGGGGAAACCACAGGTTGCAGGACTTCGGCTCAGGATGGAAAAAAATCATCACCTAAAACAAGTCATGACTCTAACTACTCGAAAAAAATGGGGGAAATTTGGGGATCTACCCTCTGGTAAACTCACATAACTCACATAGCTATGAAAAATGATCCATTTATAATCATTTATAGATTTTATAGCTATGATATAAATGGATCATTTATAATCATTTATAATCATTTATAGTTGATCCTACCACAAAAGCTATGGTCATTTTCCATAGCTATGTGGCTATATGTGGCTATAATCTGACCAATGTCCCGAGCCGTTGAAAAGGCCATGATCGTGCCTGATGATGTGGGCAGCCCAGCAACGCCGCACCAGTGAAGATCCAATTTCTAACGGTGTACTCATTGATACTTCGATATTATGATATATATAATTATATATTATATATATATTAATATATGTACTGGATATAATCCATGTTTTTTTTTGGCCTCCTCAGTTTTTGAGACACACCCTTCACCCATCTGTTTCGCATGTTTCAAAGTCCAAACCCTCCACCAATTGATGTCCCAAAGTTTCGGGACCCGATTTTCAGACACACCCAATATGGATAGAAAATTCTGGATTGAAGTTGATCTGGTCAAGTGCTCAGATTAGAGTTGATCTAGTGAATTGCTCACTGAAGGGCCACTGAAGATCGGGTGAGTTTTGCATTCTCTTTTCACTTTCTTCATGTTTTGCTGACTTCAAGTTGATTTTCATCTTCCATCCATCTTCCATCTATCTTCCATCTATCTTCAATCTATCTTCAATCTATCTTCCATCTTCTATCTTTTTTTTGGCTCCAAAAAGGCTCGGCAGAGCCTTTATGACCTTGCCATGAACGTTGACCACGGGCACGCGGGACGATGCCCCTGTGGCTGCACCCGCTGCACGGCGAACAGAGCCCGGGGCGGCCCAGTGCTCTGAAACTCAGCGGTGATGAGCGAAACTTGGAATCTGAATATGGTTTTACCCTCTGGTTATGTCAAAATAGCTATTGAAAATGACCATTGAAATAGTGGATTTTCCCATTAATAGCATGGTGATTTTCCATAGTTATGGGACAGTTTACCAGAGGGTATTTATTTTTTTAAAGGGGATTTCTATATATGGATCTTAAATAAACATGATTTATTATTTGTTAACCATAGCGTGGATTTTTATGATAGGGATCATTTGATGGGGAATTCCTATATATGGATCTTTATTTTTATTTTTGCTGGATTCTCTTTTTTTGGGGGTTTCTCTACTAATCTTCTTGGATGCCCAAGTCACATAGGCGTCACTACTAAGTCATGGTGATGTTCTTGGATGATTTGGGACCGTATGGATGGGAAACCCTAAAATCTAATATAATTTTCATCACTTTCCATATGAACATAGCCATTTGTTTTTTTTTTTTCGCCGATTTTCAGACAGCCATATCTCAGCCATAATGGTGGCTAGCCCATTACATCATATCCCATTTCCCATTAACCTTGGTTATTTAACCATTTTGAGATAGCTATAGAAAATTGCCACTTTGTTTCGAGGATTTATGATGATTTACCTATTAATTATTAAGACTGGTGATTTTTCATAGCTCACATATCCCTTTTTTTTTTGGGGGGGGGAGATTAGTTGATTTTATGCACTCCTTATTATATATTACATATATATATATATCGGGGGATTAGTTTTTTTTTTTGGGGGTGGATTAGCAATTTCACCAATCAACACGGGGATTTAATGGGATATTTTCATGGTGAACACTGGCATATATATGGCATGTTATTAGTCATTTTATTGGGGGGTTAGTCATTTTCCGAATAAATATGGGTATCTAATGAGATATTAAGGGTGATATAATCTAATGGAATATATGATCAAAAAACCAACTACAATCAAAGGGTGGATTATGTAGCCATATTTTGGGGATTGTCATCAATCCATGAATTAATAGAGATTTTCATGTTCAATTAAATTTGGCGATTTTCTGCACTTTTTTCTGTTTGTTAAAGCCAATGTTTTTTCGTTTTCCCATTGCTTAGTCATTTTTTTCCATGGTTTCTATTTTCGCTGGGAAAATAAAGCATCGATTTCCCATGATTACTGCAATCATGTTTTCCAATTTGCTGAATATGACCATTTTTTCCCCCATGAGAGTCATTTGATGATCTATTTCCGTCTATTTTCTCTCTGTTTTTGTTCCGATTTTTCCGAGAAATCTAGGAGGATTTTTCATGGCGGCAGAGCCAAGGAAGTCGAGGAGAGAAGATGAGTAGCACCTTAGCCCATGTGAAGCAAACCGGGCAATGCGATGGCTTCAAGGACTCTGAACTGGGGGGGTTGGGGGCGGGGGAAATGGTTCAAAGTTTCAGTTGCCTAAAAATGGATGGTTAATGGTGGTTAATGGATAGAATATGATACTAAAAACACGAGCCGTAGCCGCTATAGCCACGCCAAAACGTCATCCGAAGTTTTTTTGGATGGCCAAAACGTCCCAGCTTTGATCGAAATCCCCATGGGCCGGATGCCATCCGTGGCATTTGCAGACAATGATTTTTCGGATGTACAGATGGTGAGTTTTTTTTTGGTGAAAATGAGGCATCTCCCCATGGCCATTGGAAAAGGATGATCAACCACGGGAATCACGGGATCTGGCAGTTCCACATTTTTGGATACCAGATTCCTGTCGAAAGGAACAGCTGCGAAGCCGCAGTTTCAAGCCTGTTTTCCATCGCCAAATGAGATACTTTATCCATCTTTATCCATCTTTATCCATCTTTATCCCCGTCCAAACCACTCGCCCAACATCCGGTGTCTAGGCATGAAACGCATTGTAGTCGTGACTTTCTCCAGAAAAACCACCAGTACCATGGAAAATCACCATATTTTTGATAGGTAAATAATCACACATCATCTATAAACAGGCCATTCTCGATAGTGATGCAACAATTTCCAGACGGTATATTTCGTGGAAAGACCATTTTTTCCAATACTTTTCAGGTGTTCGATTCCGGTCAGGACAGAACATCTTCCTTGAGCCTGCTGAATTTCTCAGACGGACACCTGGTAGGTGATGGAGTATCCATCCCCTTGCTCTGCGCAGACCTGCTCTGGACACAGACAGATCCTGCGGCGTCGACTGTCCAGAGTCCCTTTGATCGCCTTGACACCGAGGTGCGGTTCTGCCATGAGACTGCCATTCACTTCTGGTGGAAGTGGAGAAAAATGGCCCCATTTTGAGAAATGATGAGAATGTCAACTTGAAGGGATTTTTTTGGGGTATCATTTTTTTTTTCAAATCCGAGCGTGCAGAAGGAACCACTTGGTGCATAGAAATTCCCCAGCCACGGGGGTATCCAGACACAGCGCAAAGGCTCACCAGTGAATTGACCATTTGTGGGATGGCATCTAGATGCAGAAACAGTCTCGCCATTGTGTGCTTTGGCATCTCAATTTTGAAAGCTATAAGTATGTCTAGATGTATGTATATGTAAAAATATATATACACAGAACAATAGTGAACAAATAACATATTGTATTATGTATATAATATATATATATATCATTTCCCCATCTAACAGCGCTGCTCTTGTGTCCGCTAAAAGCCACAAGCATTCGGAATCCCCCTCTCGTTTTGTCATTCGCGCCAGGAGGTGCCATACTTCAGGAGCATTTTGGCTCTGGCACCTCGCTGGAGGTGGCGATCGCAGATGGGAATCCTTGAAGCCCTCGAGGATCCCCGGAGCGATGAACTTTGGATCATTGGCGTGTCTGGGCTGAGAAAAATAAAAGGGGGGCTAAGCTGGAAGTTGGGGATTCCGCGATAAGGTGAACAATGACGATTTGACTCATTGTTATGATGATTCTTGTTATTACTATTGTTGTTGCTGTTATTCTTACAATTCTTGCTGTTCTTATGAATGATTTTTGTTAGGCACTGAGAACATGATGCATCTAAGAAATCTATGACGTCTGGAGAGCAAACTGGTTGGATCGTGTTTTCTTCGGAACTGTTTTCGGGACCTCGGGTGGAGTTTTGTGGGCCGAGGCAAGCTTGGTTCCAGGAAGTCAGGAGATGGCTCGGTGCCTCCAGATGCTAAGCAAGCAAGGAGTGATCAGGTGGGAACTGCCAAACCACCTGATGATCAATAGAGGGGTTAGTGTTTTTTGTACTTTCCAGATGGGGTGGATGATGATACATGGTAAAGTTTAGTAAACCGACCCATCGATTTTTCCCCAAAGCCAAAGGACATCATTTTGAGAAGATCATCCGTGGGAATTGGGGACCCATGTTCAGACAAGTTGTTCTGGAACAAGCTGTCCCCATGATGAAACATAGCCGTGAAATTTCCGTGAATTCTATCATTTTCGATGCGGAAATCTGGGTTTTCTGCTCATGGACGGCACCTAAAACGCCGGTTTTCTCGGGACAGGTGGGACATCGAGAAGGAGTTCCTCTTCCACAAACACGTCATCGGGCGGAGCGCTTCCGGTATCACTAGATTAGGCAAGGAGTGAAGTTGTGAAGTTAAAGGTACTGTATATTTGATGATATTGATGATAGTCGGATGGTATAGTCAACAACTTGGTTCTTCATCTCGTTGTTCTTTCTTTTTCTTCTTGATCTTGATCATCCTCAGATCATCTCAGATCCCAATGCCAGTGGCCAGGTATGCAGAAAAATAGTTTCTGGTCAATCTCTACGATGGATGATTCAGAAGCCCTTTCAGAGGACTCGAGCCGGGGACCCGACGGGCGGGTCGCACGCGAAGCACACATGGTCATGAAAAAAACCAGTTCGCTACAGCCACAGGACGAATGCCCGGAAAGTGAAAAACCAGTGGCCATTAAGTTCATCAAGACTCCTGTTTCTTGGTGGATTAAACTGATTCGAGTCGTTTCAAGGGGCATTTTTTCGGGACCAGTTATAAATCTGAACCATAATCTATATAAGGTAACATCTAAGTCTAATCGAATTTAATCTATATCACATATGTCGCCAAATGTCATTTGCTCTTGGCTGGATATAGCTTGGCAAGGTATGGTTAGGTAATTAGGTTGATACTTTAGTTTGTCGCCATAAATGGGTAAACACACTATTGTGCTGAAGATAAACATCTTTTCGGCAGGGCACTTCAGCTTGGTTATGTCACGATGACGGATGTTTGATATGAGGCTTTTAGTTGTCAGTTGGGATGAATACCCGAAGTGCCAGCATCAAGCACCCAACCATATGCCAAAAAAAAGCGCGAAAGCTGGAGGGTTCACTTTTCACTATCAGGTCAATGAGGCGCAGGCCATTCTCATGGTGAATGAGATTCGGCACCTGGCGAACTGCAGCCATCCCAACGTTTTGTCGCTTCTGGGGACCTTCTTCGCTCCAGCTTCAAGGACCCCCCTGGCTGGACATTCAACGCGCAGTACTTGGCTACTGGCCTTGGAGTTTTGCACTGGGGGTACTCTCTCGGAGTACGTGTCCAATCATGGGCACCTGGACCTCATCGCAGGGTGACCTGGATTGATATACCGGCTTGTCTGAAAATGGAGCCCCCAAAATCACCAAAGACCATTTGAACATATTAAATCATATTGGGAAAATGAATATGAAGCATGACATGTTGCTCGGGGACACTATTTTCAGACAAGGCCATGTGGTGTCTTTTTGCTTCACTGATTCCCCATGGCTTTTTTATCCACGATTTGATTTTTCCATGGTCATGGAGGGGGATGGGTGGACGACCATGGCCCCAAAACTATGGCTTGTGACCCTGGCACAACGGGACCTCCATTGGGTTTTCCCAGAAATGACACCTGTGACTGAAACCATCTATAGTACCCATAGAGGTTACCCTCTGGTTATTGAATATAGTTATGGAACATGGCTCATTTATAGAGGATTTTCCCATGAAATCCATGAAATTTGTAGGGTTTCCCAGCCAACCACGTTTGATCACTGAAGTGTAAGTTATTTTCCTCAATCCTGGACGGTCCTAAAGCCCTGCGGTTGACGTCAGGCAAGTGATCTGCACATCGCTACTGAGTGCTGCAGCCCATATCCATAGCAAGCAGATTTGGCATCGAGACATTCGACCACAAAACATCTTTTTGGACAGAGATGGAAAGGAATTGAGGCGAAAACGTGGGGGCTGAAAATTGCAGAAACTTGGGACCAGAATTCCACGACATCCATGGCGTCCCATGACATCCATGGGTCCAAGTGATTTTGGGGAAACTTGGGACTGGAAAGGGCGAACTGGCAACCCCTGGGTGAAAACCGGGCATTGCTTGGGGAGCTGTGTAGCTGTTTGGAAAACTCAACGTCAAAATCCTTGATGCGTTTCACCCATGAGAGGAATCAATATTTTTTGAAAACAAACTTCGCGTCTTCATGATGCGGGTCTGTCTGACAATTTTGGGACAAAGCCCAACACTTGATAGTGAATCAGCGTTTTCCTCCAATCAAAGCTATCATTTTATGGTTCTCCCAGTATCCCCATTTCCAGACACACCCAACTTGTTGATATTCCCATTCATATCGCTTAAATCACCATTTGTCACCATTTGTCATGATTAAATCTGATGCTTGTTCCCGAAAAAATCGCTGCCATGCTTCCAACAGGCCAGTGCTGGCCAGCTTTAGCCGTGCCACACACGCAGACGCCGAGTTGCCCATGGGGCGACACACAGGTCATGGCTGTTACTGTGCTCCTGAAGTTTTAGACTCAAGCCTCTTGGATTTGCCAATGGTTGCCATGTTATTGGGGTCAATGAACACACTAAAGTCACTAAGTACATCTAAATACTACATAGAGTATCAGACTTAGTATCAATGTCGTACTAATGATGACAATTTGCGCTTGTCGCTGATGGAAAATCAACACATATTTCCCATAGGTAAATCCAGCAGAGAACCAAGGACTTGGAGTGCAAGGTTCAGCAAGCGACATCTTCAGTCCTTTGGCTGATTTTTCTCAAACATATGGGGGTTTCCATGGGTTTTCTAAATCATGGGGGTACCCAAAAATGGATGGTTTTATAAGGGAAAGTCCCAATCCAAAATGGACGATAAAAAAGGGGGTAACCCGTATGATGGAAAAACAGGGTTCATTTGGGCAAGTCCCAAATTCCAGGTTTGCTGAGAGTTTTGAGTTTGCTAATTACACTAATTATCCTAATTATTGTAATCAATTGGGATAATTAGAGTAATTAGAGCCTTTGAAAGGCTAATGATCCTAATTATCCTAATTATGCTAATTAATTAGGATAATTAGAATAATTAGGATAATTAGCTTCCCTAATTAGGATAATTAGGATAATTAAGATAATTAGCCTCCCAGAGAGCCTTTGGAAGCCTAATTATCCTAATTATTCCAATTAATTAGGATAATTAGGATAATTAGCCTCCCAGAGAGCCTTTGGAACCTAATTATCCTAATTATTCTAATTGTTGCTCAAGCCTCCAGGCTCCAGACCTTTGTTGCTCAAACAACCACAAGAAGAGGACTGCAAAGCAAAGGCAGCAGTTGAGAAGCTGGCCTAGCAACACCAAGTAGATAGTCACAAGACATCAAATGTAAACGTGAAAGAAGAAAGTGATAGTTGATTATCGGCCAAAACTTTTTTTCGAGAGAAACCGTTCCAACCCAGAAACAAAAAGAAGTAACAATACACAAGAGGTGCAAGGTTGTTTCAAGAAACTTTTGCCCCTTCATCAAGAGTTGTCCCTCAAGACGGTAACCTGTCAACCCCAGCAACAACAAACAAGTACAAGAGAAGGAATGCAAAGGAAAAACGGCACAGCTGAGAGAAGCTGACCCCATCCCCTTCGAAAGCCCTTTCACGCCCGCAACAGTAACGACAAACAAGACAAGAAAGGTGGAAGTGAAAACCTCAAAGAGCAACCTGTCCACCTCAGAAACAACAAACAACCACAAGAAGAGGAATACAAAGCAAAGAGAACAGTTGAGAAGCTGGCCCAGCAACAGCACCTAGATAATGATTTCTACCCCCAAAACAATAAGGAGATACAATAGACAAGAGGTGCAAAAGAGGGGACATTGTTTCAAGTAACCTTTGCCCCATCATCTACAGCCTGGCTAGGTCAAACAAGTTTTGCCGCATGGTCCCTAACAAGGGCAACCTGTGAGAAGCTGGCCCGGCACGCCTCAAAAGAATTTCCACCCCAGCAACAGCAACTGGAAACAAGACAAGAAACATAAAAGAGAAAAAAGGAAATTGAGTACTGATTCTCGGCCGAACCTTGCGCAGAGAGCAAACCCTTCCAGCCCAGTAATAAAAAGGAGGTGCGAGATACAAAAAGTGCAAAAGAGGCGAAGTTGTTTCAAGTAGCCTTTGCCGCATTATCTAGGCTTCTTGGAAGAATCGTTGCCTCATACTGTAGTCCCTAAAAGAGCCAGGCAAGACATGTACGCGTGAAAGGTTGATTGTCGGCAAAACTTGTTTAGAGGGAAACTTTTCTACCCGAGAAACAAGAAGGAGATAAAAACAAGAAACGCACAATAAGTGAAACAGAGGGAAGGTTGTTTCAAGTAAACTTTGGCCCATCATCTTGTCTACCTACAATGAAGATGTTATGCTGGTTTTTGATCGTCATGGCTGAAAAAGCCCGCCGCAGGGACGTGCCCAAATAGACCCGGTTTTTCCATGCCACGGGGTAACCCCCATGACTTAGGAATCTCCCATTTTGGGACTTCAGGGAGCGCAATTCTGGGGAGGCTTTGGGGACCTGCATTCCTGGTCTCTCCCATCTGCCCATAGTACAGATCATGAAAAGCGCAGATCCGATGCTGCGTCTCCCAGATATCTTCCAGATATATTTGAAATATCTGCAGATATCATCCAGACATCCATCCAGACATCATCCAGACATCCATTCAGACCAGATTTTCCCAGCTCCATCGCTCAGGTTTAGGAGCTGTGATGTTGTTTCTCCTCACTGGCCTGGAACGTGGATGTGAAGTGTCCAGTGTTGGAGCCTTAGAGAAATTGTCAAAGCCTGAGTTTCGAAGGGTTTCGCTGCGGAGATCTCCGAGATTTGCTTGGCCCGGTATGCCCGATTTCTGATATTCCCTTGTTGGATGTGTTCAAACGCAAAAAATGACATACATCATGTTTTGAAGCAACAATCACTAGTTAAAGATTGACTATCTTATTCCATCCAATGCGCTAAGACCTCATGAAGATGGACCAAACTGATAATTTCCATCCATTTTCAGACACACTCATGTCTGCTTTTTATTGCTTAGCTTAGCATCTAGCATCTACAGGATCTTACATGGTTATACAATGTTATACAGTTATACATGGTTGGCACTTTGTACTATGGATAACATGGGATCACATTAAACCCAACAAAGAAATGGCCCCCCTTTAGGTGGCCGTTTCCATCCTCAGGTCACGTGGCAGCCATCCCTGACCGGCAATAGCCGATGTGATGAGATCGCCCATCAGAAGCTGACGGAGACCTTAGTGCGCCAGTTGGGGGGGCGCCGGTTCCGGGCGGTTCCGGTTCCTGGGGGGTTGGAAACGGCTGGGCATGGCATCGCCTGTCTTGGGACCCGCTGCCAGGTGGATTTCCTGCTGCGTTTCTTGGCTCTAAATGCTCGAAAGAGACCTGCAGCCTTGGAGGCGCCATGGGGCACCTGAGGTGTTCAGATCCTGGTTCCCATCTTCCCTGGGACAACCTGGGACAACCTACACGCCAGGCATGTCGGCTCCTTTGGGAAGAAGCTCCGGAGGAAGTTCAGGAGAGCCACGTTGCATTGAAAGCCATGGCGGCTTTACCCCCCTCAAGTGGCTTGGACCGGTGATCGAAAGGGAACTGGCCAGTTCCCAGTTTTTTTTGGACAACGTGGGCTTGAAGAGGCTTCATCGAAGATTTTGGGTAATCTGTCAATTTCGGAAATCGACATGTAGTTTTAACATGTTGTAACATGCTTTCAACTGATCATTTTCCCCGATTGAAATAGCAAATGTGCGACCTCCATTTTTTGGGGACTTCGTCGTCTTCGTCCATGTCGAATCGTGTCTCCGTCTGCCAGTCAAGCTATCAAGCTATGGAGAGCAATTCTCTGAGGCTCAAGTACCGCGGCGATGCCTATCATTGCAGAGACTTGTTTCGAAGATGTCTTGGACGACTCGCGCCGGGAAGATCCACGAGGTTCCTGGGATGGGTCTGGCGATGTCTGGATGAATTGGAAACCTTGGAGGTTTCCATCAATATCATCAATGGGTACCCGAACATGGATGGTTTATGATGGTTTATGATGGAAAATACCATTCAGAAATATAGTTGGTTTGTGATTTTCCATCATTTATAGTTGATTTTCCCATTAAACATGGTGATTATCCATTCAGAAACCCAAGCGCAAATCCAAGAAATATGGCTAGCTCTGGATGGGTTCCGCCATGGCTTCAAAATCGCAGCACATCTCGGTACTGCCACTGGCCTTGTGTGTCAGATGTGGCGAAAGGGAAAGTGAAATACAAGAGATTTAGGCGGATAGGTTTCTTTTTTGTCCGTTTTGGACACCACTCAATGATCATGTTTTCATTTGTTTTGCAGTGTTTCTCTGATGTGTTTTCCAATGTTTTCCCATGATTTTCCATGGTTTTTCCCATGATTTCCTAGAAAAAACATCCATAACATGGGATTGCTCCGGCGTTTTCCATCAGCCCAGGTGCAAGCTTAGGATATGCTCCATCCTCTGCTCCAGCTGAAGGTTATGTCCAGCTTCCAGCAGGCCACGCTATTTATATTTGTTTCATATTTTCTTTTGTATAATTGGGATGAAGTTTCACGAGCGCTTTTTGAATGATCCCAAGTCGATTTCGCAAAAATCATCTAGACCACTCAACCCTTCATTCAATATGATTGGAAACCACACAGAAACACATTAAGATTTCAACTCTTACATTCTCTTTTCTAAAAAAATGCAGCCACCAAGCAGTTCTTCTAAGCATTTTCCCAGCCCTTTCTCACCATTCGGTCGCAGGAGCCTCCCCGGTGATGAAAGTGTTGCCCCCACCATCTCCACCGACCACGCCCAGTAGGGGAGACCCAGGGGCCATGGTTCACCTGGATTTGGGTAGATTTTTCCCCAGATGTGGAGAGTTGCAGCAAAAGTTGATGTTTTACACATAGAATCTAAAAAAACTAATCTGGAAAACACTCACCCTCTATTAAAAAACTAGATGTTCCTCATGGAAGCTCAAAACTGTTCACAGATCCAATGGGGAAATCGTCTGGAAGAGACCACGCTTTTGTTTTGGTGTATGGATCTATTGAATCTATGGGTCTTCATTCACCCAGACATAAGGCGTCGATATGAACACACCTTCTTTTCCTCAGGGGGAGGGTGTACACACTTATCCAGAGTTCGTTTGATGATCGGAATTTCACTCCGATCATCAAACGTGGCAATGGAAACAACATGAAACCACCACCTTAATTTATAGATGATTTCAATGATTTCCCCATTCAAACCTCATTTACATTGCCACGTTTGATTATCGGAGGGTAAAGGGAACAATTCTGAGGCCCACGAAAGGGACGATCTTTCTTGTCTGCGAGATCGGCGCAGTCTGATGGGTGATGCCTGTGAATTGCTGATGGGTTTGTCTCAAAAATACGCGATTTGCGACAATTTATAGCCATGTGAATGGTTAAAAATATGAGAAAAGGAAGTTAGACACCATGGAATTCTCAGGATATCTGGTTTATATAAATATGTTTAAATGACAATTTTTCGGGATACCGAACGTATGTGGTTTTCTCATACCAATATATACTTAATATAACTATATATATAATTATAATATAACTATATATATATATAAGTAGTTATATATAAATTATAACTCTCTCTCTCTATATATATATATATACATTGATAGTTTATTCCCTTTTGGACAAACCCAATGGCTGATGCACCTGGATTTTTTTGGTTAAGAGGTGTGGAATCACATGCCTTCGGAATCAGTGCGGAAAACGCACTGATTCCGCACCATTGATGCGCCCTTGATTGGAGGGCCGCACAACCAGGTCCTGACGCATATCTTGATCTGAAAACAATCGATAATCCAACAACATCTGCCAATGCTCCAAGGCTTTCTGATTTGTTTTTTGGGTTTGAGAAGAAAACATCTGTTGAATTTCCCTAAAGATAAACTTGTAGATTTCCTGGTGACGCTTGCTTGCTTGGATGTCCAAGTCGAAATTAAACCCGAGTGTCGTGGTGTCTCCATAGGAGAGTGGAACAATATCGGTGGCAGCAGTCCCTGCGTTGGCTATCCAGGGGCTCTCTAATTTTCTTGATTCGGAAGATCATAATCCTGATTTTTTGCAAGATATTTGAGAGATCGGAGGAACGAACGAAGAAGAGGTGACAATTTGAACGGCCTTGGGACGGGATGGGACTGCTGCCATGACTGAAGCTTCCCGGCGATTACGAAGTGGGTAGCCGTTTTCAGTTAGGCTTTCTTCAATGGATGGATTTCACGTATTTTTTTTCGGAACATCGAGAGGACAAAAATGGGGTGATCCTACAGGCCTGTAGATTTTCCCAGGTGTTTTTATTTCGGGATTTTTGCAAATCTTCCAAAGCATCAAGAACACCATGCCTTTTGGGTGTGTCTTTCTGGAGCTCCAACACCCACTTCGCCGTTCTTCAAATCCCAAAAGAGATCTCAAAGAGATGCTGAACTGCTGCGGTTTTTTAGCATACAAAATGCAATGGCAGTTTTCGGACAACAGTGACACAGAAAGGCCTGGTCTAAAAGCTCGACCTACTCAAAAACGTTCAGTACACGTCATCTACATCTCTTCACAACGAAATCTGCAAAGCGTACACCGTTTGGTTCCTTTGGATGTTTCAAAGATGCTGTTCAAGACCAGATTATCCCACTCAGTGGAGAATGTCAGAGTTTCCAAATGAGTGCAGCTTAGCTTTAGTGATTCTTGTACATCAAAGAAATCACATCTCGTGATCAAAAGCCAAGCTGAGCTTCGAAGCTGCACTCATCGAATTTCACCTTTTTCACCTTGGTCCTGGACCACAGGGTTTTCCGCCTCAACATTGGCCTCGCCAGTTGGGGCTTCCCCAGCGGCCCCTGGGGACGACACCCAGGCGACACGGCGGTCGACCAAAAATGTTTGAAGAGGCAAAAGTGAAGAGAACGTCAGCTCAGCCAGGGTGGTTTGGGTTCAATGTTGGAAACGTGTTTGATGTTGACATGACACAACTGAGCGGAAACTGACATGGAACGGAACAACAACTCCGCAACGTTATCCAACTTCCAATCTTTGGGGGGTTCCATGTGAGGAGTTCAGCATTTTGTTCAGCCTGTCACCGCCCGGCCTCAGGATGATGTGTACACCCCAAGCCCGACTTCAACACCATCGAAGGCCACAGAGCCCAGCAAAGTTCCAGAAAAGATCCCCATCGCCAAACATCCAGAAACATCCACACATTCCCGAGAAAATGTCAACAAATCATCAAATATTCCCCCGCAGTCTCATGATATTTAAGGGACAGTGATGGTAAATCGCCTCTGAAGAAACTTGGACATGCGAAAGTGATGGTGGTTCCTTCGCAGCTGTCGGACTTCTTTGTTCTTCTTGGCGCTCCCGAGGACGACAAGATACTGTTCGTGAGTGTCTAAATCGTTGGTGGTTTCAAATGATTTTTTTTTCCCCTGGGAACAATGGAGGTGTCCTAAGTCATGGTACCCCAAGTCATCCAAGTCATTAGATCATGTTATGGTGACTTGGGGATCAAACAATGATTTAGGAAAGCCCCATATCATTTTTTTGATTTCAGTATGATTCGTTCTATTTTGATATTCCATAGTCATAGTCCCATCGTTTATATATTCCCATTCTTAGTGCATGATCTGATTCGGCTCCCACTGATCCTTGGACCTCGCGAAGAAATCCAGGTGAAACTGGGTGATGGTGCACTGGGACGCCCGCCAGCGCCTGAGCCGGCTGAGCCGCGGGGCTTTTTGCCGGCTGAGCCGTGGTTGCCGGCTCGGTACCAAAATATACCCAATGTATGGCACATCATGGGGAACAGGATGATAAAAACCCCATGGTTTTGGAGATTTTGGAGGTAAACTTAGATAATGGTGGTATTCTCAATGCCATAAAGCATATTTTAAGGATAGTTTATAGATGTTTATACCACCCATGAGCATGGTATAACATGGTAAATTTGGTAAATTTGTGGATCCTATTGCTTTACACTGTCAGCCAATGCATGGGGCAGTTGGGGATGATGTTGGACACCCATGGGCTGGGGCTTGGATTCTGTCCATGATTCAACCATCAACAACCACGACTTTTTTGGGGGGTGAAACACCTGATTTTCGGATGAGGTTGGTTGAATCCCATGATTTTTCTGGGAGGCGGAGTTGGAATAAACAAAAACAGCCCGGCCCAGCTGGGCCGGTTTCTGTAGAAAAACCAGCTGAAATCATGGTGAACACATTTCAAAGAGTGGGTCAGGAATGGATAAATCGATGACATGACTTTTTTTTTCTTGTCGGTTCATACCTATTTTTGACGCACACCCAACAAATGTGTTTGGTTACCTATTTCCGTATTTTCCGATTTTAGCCCAAAAAGCAAGTCTTCCCATTAGTTTCCCTATGAATGTAATTAAATCCCGACATATCCCATTGTAACCCCCATATTCTTGCTAGTTAAAACCCTAAAATCTACGTTGGTTTCCCAACGTCTCCCTGTGGTCCGCTACTGGCGCCCCGCCAGTCCTGTAGGTCCTGTAGGGGCATCGCTGTGCCCGTGACGGCAGCGACATCCCTACAGCAGCTTGGCTCAGATTGAGGAGTTTGTCCCAGGTTTTGTTCAACAGATTGATGATTGAAACATATTGAAATCCACAACTGTTGATTTCAGAACTATCTTGTAGATTTTAGTCACCAAATTTGCGGAAGAGTGAGCTGGTTCCAGGATGTTTTTTGCTGATATATGCTTCATATTTATATAAAGTGGTTTCCCACCTTTCTCTCTATTTTGAGGTTGCTACAAGCTGATTGGTACTAAGCCAATTGATCTTACTCAAGAGATCGAAATAAATTCTTTTCATTTGTGAAAAAACATCAAACACATGGGTTCATTTGAACATTTTTGCGACAATTGAATATAACCAACATGTCTGAAAATGGGGCAGATCCACCAAATGTCTATTTCATCCAAAGCAAAATTCATGATAAACCGATGGATTTGGGATTACCCGCTGATGGGAACTAAAAGCCAAGCAATATCAGATCAAATCCAGCGGTTTATCCAACAATCCATTGGTTTATCCAGACTGATTGGGATCAAATCCATTCAAAATAATGCAGTCCCAACACCCGCAACCATCGGAAGTCCCAAGTTTGGAATTCGAGTTTGCGTGCACAGATACCAAGTCGCTGAGTGACCCCGAACTGGCGACCAGCCAAGTCTGCCTTGAGACTACACTAGCATGAACATCATTTGTGTAAGTTGATCATTGAACAGATTTCACATGAATTTACCATACATTTACATTAATATTTACCAGATATTCTGAAGATGAAATGCTAAAATCCAACCAGCAGTTAAACAAAAATCCACCAGCATGGCATCTGCGGGGGAGGATTCTGATGCACGGCTGTGGCATGATGGGCATGGGCTGGTACTCGATCTTCGTCTACGTGGAGGGCTACGACGGCTTGGACAACGCCGGGAAGCGCAAGTTGGGGACTGGAGATGCTGAAAAAACGATGTTTTTTGGGGGAAGTTGGGGATGTGATGATACTTTATATTCTATTTTATTCTGTACTATTGTATATATATATTATATATATATACTGTTATGATCTGTTATCATTATGATCATTGTTCTCAAACATTTCTCACTGTTCTTATTATTCTCACTTTTCTCATTGTTCTCGTTACTCTCATAGTCATGATGGTTATCAGTTTTATTGCATATTTTTTTGTTGTAGTGAATATTCTGCAGAGATCCTGAGATTCATGATTGACGTCATGGGAAATAGGACCATAGGAGCCTTTTAGCACCTGGGAGTCAAACATGGCAATGGGAAATCCCTTATAAGTCGAGGGTTTGAATGGGAAAATCATCGAACTAAATAGATGATTCTTTAAAACACCATCTTTGATTACCGGAGGGTAAGCCCAATGAAATCTCACTCAAATCCACTGTGGTGATACAGTAGAGGAAACATCACTACTGTATCTTTTTGGACTTTACGACTAGAGGCTTTAATTTCCCTTCATGGAATCTATGATTTAGACTTCCCAATTTGACGGATCTATTTTTAACCACATATAACAGAACTATATTATAAGAAATATATCACAATATATCATACAATTCTAAGCACCATCGAAGCTCAAGAAAAAACAGACACATCACCCCAGAAATCGATTGAGGACGGCGCCTTACAGCAGCTGCGATTCCAAGTTCCAGCCTCTTCCAATAGCTTCGCGGTGCGGAGTCATGGATATGAGGAGATGGGGAGGCTGCCGACCGGGTAAAGTGTTGGAGTTTGCGAAGTGGAAAATCACCATGTGAAACATAGGTCAATTGGTCAATCATCATGTTTATCATCTATGAATGGCAATGTGAAAAATAGCTATGTTGAATTCCCAGAGGGTAATAGCTGGGGAACAGAGGATGTATATGGATGTATATGGATGTATACTGTATTTCAGAGGATTTTGAACAACAATGGACTTTCAATATCTTTCAATACAATTCTTAAAAAGAAGGGAGATGTAGCCAGCATTTTTATTGGAAAGACGATGGGCTTTCACAACTAGCAGCTGGGCTGCTGGGCATTTTGGGTCGAAGAATGTCCCACTGAGGTGCAACCCAGCATGTCAGGTCTCACGAAGGATGGACTCACAGTGACCTTCACAGCTTCTGCCTCCGCAGGCGAAGTCGTGAACCAAAGCTTTGTCAATGGGGATATGGGGGATTCACCCGAAGATCCACTAATCCCCACTACTTGATCATATTTCTGAGGATTTTTCTTGGCCGGAAGATTTGGACCTTTCAAATCTGGCTCAAAGCCTCCAAATCCAATGGTTGAACGGCATCATTTTTCTGCGGACATGGCCTTTTTTTATTGGAGTAAGTCGGCAAATCCACATTTCTCGAGAAAATCAGATGGTTGAGCTTGATACCATTTGATACCTACGGCGGGAGGAGGTACTAGGAAACCTTATGATATTTGATTGTCGAATCCATATGATCTACGCAGAATATGTATTGTTTGAGGGGTGCTCGGCTCATTGGCTCACATGGCTGGCCAAAATTTGGGCACCCGAAATAGCATGGGTGGATTTTCCCATAGTTTTTTTGGGACAGTTTTCCAGAGGGTAGCGAAAAACATGTTTAAAGATTTTCGACCCATACCCCAATGTGTAGGATGTCATTGGGCTGTGAAAGGCAATGGCTATGTGATGATCGCAGCGGAAGCTGACTACTCCACTTTGACGGTCGCCAACATCAAGGCACGACATGCACCTCCCCAATCTGCCATGTTTTCATTAAATCCCCAGCAAATCCCCATAAAATCCCCATAAAATCCCCATAAAATCCTCATAAAATCCCCATAGAATCCTCATAAAATCCCCATAGAATCCTCTATTTTTATGGTGAAATCCACAGGTCTATGTTTTTTTCCATGTTTTGTGGATGGTAGACTCGCCAACTGGCCTAGGCCTTCATGAGTGCAGTGGGAGATGCCACATGCAGCTTGGCTGTGGACCAGTTGTAAATGACCAGATTGTATATAAATTTTGGGATAATATATATATATATAAATTCTACAAACTTGATAGTGGGATTTTATATAATGTCCCATAAATTCCATATAAAACTTATATAACCAACAACAAGATAGTGGGATTTGTGGTTTGTCCATTATTTTTTGTGATTTGCCCGTGGGTTAATCCGTCAGACAGTCAGACATGGGGAATCTTCTGGATTTTTCAATGGCTCCCTCATGGTTCTTTAATACCATCCAAATGGGACAACTATAAGTTTTTATGAATGTAAATGAGGTATGGTTCACTATTCACCCACTATTATCTACTATTTCACATATAATTTGGAATGGGTTTCCCACATATTCAACATATGACTGGAATAAGATTCAACATCTCCGAAAAACCGCCTAAATGAAGATATCGAGACATGGCATCCTGGATCCTGTTGAGCTGAGGTAAGTGGAACGGCTTTGTGAACAACATGGAAAGCACCGTGCGTGACTCAAACAATGCCTGGCATCAGTGACATGAAATGGGATCAGTATATGATACCCTATGACACTGTATGTGATAGGCATCGCCTATTTGCAATTATTCCTCATATTTTTTCCAGGTCGAGGAGTTTTTTTTTGGTTGAGTTGTGGCTGGGATGACACCACGTGGGTTCCAGTCCCGGCCCAAATCCACTGGTTGATGACATCATATTCGCCATTGAACACCTTGCCGTTCTAGGTGGATTTGCCACCCAAAAAACCATAAGACACCCACCTAGAATCCAGCAGGAAAAAGTGTTTGCTTACTTGTTTCATCTTGTTTCATCAGAAAACATGCTCCAAAAATCATCATCGCTCATGTCTTAGAATGTCTCAGAATGTCGAGACAAGACGGATGTGTGAGTCGATTCCTGGTGGTTTTTTATCGAACAAATCGACACTTAGTGGTGCTGACAACCAGGTGGTGCTGACGGGATGCCGACTTTTTGGCGGCAGCCAGTACCGACTCTTCGTTTACGTCGAGGCCGGGAGCGTCCCAGGATTAGCCCACTGTGGTGAAGATGGTGAAGAACAGTGGTTTTTTACGGTTGAGCCATGTTAGTTTCATGTTAGTTCACTCATTGATAGATGGGATAATCCATAATAATCCATAATAATCCCAGCGATAATCCATAGTTTATGGATAAGCCATTGATAGTTTCATGGTTAATCCATGATCATCCATGATAATCCATAGTTTATGGATGTTTATGGATAAGCCATTGATAGTTTCATGGTTAATCCATGATCATCCATGATAATCCATAGTTTATGGATGTTTATGGATAAGCCATTGATAGTTTCATGGTTAATCCATGATCATCCATGACAATCCATAGTTTATGGATGTTTATGGATAAGCCATTGATAGTTTCATGGTTAATCCATGATCATCCATGATAATCCATAGTTTATGGATGTTTATGGATAAGCCATTGATAGTTTCATGGTTAATCCATGATCATCCATGATAATCCATAGTTTATGGATGTTTATGGATAAGCCATTGATAGTTTCATGGTTAATCCATGATCATCCATGATAATCCATAGTTTATGGATGTTTATGGATAAGCCATTGATAGTTTCATGGTTAATCCATGATCATCCATGACAATCCATAGTTTATGGATGTTTATGGATAAGCCATTGATAGTTTCATGGTTAATCCATGATCATCCATGATAATCCATAGTTTATGGATGTTTATGGATAAGCCATTGATAGTTTCATGGTTAATCCATGACCATGACCCATAGTTATGGATGTTTATGGATAAGCCATTGATAGTTTCATGGTTAATCCATGATCATCCATGATAATCCATAGTTTATGGATGTTTATGGATAAGCCATTGATAGTTTCATGGTTAATCCATGATCATCCATGACAATCCGAAAATTTTATCTGGGATGATTTTGGTGATTTCCTCGGAGTTTTGTCAGATTTCCGCAGGATGGTCAGATGCGTGATGATGGTGTCTTGGCCGAGCCCATGTCGCTGCAAGTCTTGCCGTCCAATGACTTCACAGGCCCATCCTGCGACACGCCGCGTTTGGGTGAATGGAAGCCCCAAAAGATAGCTTGAAGGTCATTTATCACAATTTTAGTCGTGTTAGGATTTTACTTTTCTATCTTTAATTTTTTTTGGGTTGCTATGTGATAAGTGATAAGTGATAACTGGCTCAAAGACAGAACATGCAGGCACTTATCCTTACCCGAGACTGGACGCCACGCTTGAGCCTCAGGAGTCAGGTCTCAGAATTTAGGGATATTTAGGTGTGTCTGAAACTAGTGTACCCCTAAACCCAATGGTTTTGCTGATCATTATCCCTATTAAATGGCTATAATTGGGAATATACCCTATTTTCAGACAAACCCATTTAGGGAAAACACTGCAGGACAGCTCCATATTTGGAGCACCGTGCCACTGAGGCCAACGACCAGCACAGTGTCCATCGAATTCGAAGCGCGGGAGGTGACTGAAATGGGAACTGATGGGAAGTGGTGGCGATGGTGGTGATAGTAGTGACAATGCTAGCAACAATATGAATAACACATAGTAACATGAATTACAATACTAATCACATCTAATCACAACTTCATCATAGTCACAACGGACAATATTTGCAGATTTTTTTTTGGTTTGCCCTCCAAATGTTGAGTTGGTGATGTGTCTATATCGACGCACAGGCTGCGGGAGTGCTTTGGGCTGTGCTGATTCCGGAGATTGTCACTTGGACTGCAAAAAAAAGCCGCCTGGAAAGTGAATTCTAGCATCAAAAAGATGCAGAAAAGTACCCTCTTGTAATTTAACATAGCTATTGAAAATGGCCATTTATAGTGGATTTACCATTAAACATGGTGATTTTCCATAGTTACGTTAAATTACCAGAGGGTAACACATCACCAGAATCATATGATTTTGTGTGGTTTCTCAATGACACGAGGTGATCGCACAAATTATTTTTGGAAAAGCATATCAACAAAGATCATTTCATCAGGAAATCCCAAGATATTTTTCAATCCCATTAGCTACGATCTATATGTTATCCCATATAAATCATCAATATCTTAGGATAACTGGAAGAGATAGGAAATCCCAAGATATAAATCCCATATAAATCCCATTCCATCTTAGCATTATCTTGGGATAATGATGATGATAATCCCATATACCCTCTGGTTATTTAACAGTTCGCCATGGAAAATGGCCCTAATCGAAATAGATGCTTTACCTATTAAAAACGGGTGGATTTTCCATGGCGAACTGTTGGTCATAACCAGATGGTAAACCATCTATAATGATGATCCCATTCCATCTTAGGATCATCATTATAGATAATCCCAGAAAAATCATCTATAGATGAATCCTGATTATCCTCCTAATTCATCATTATGATCTATAATGATGATCATGATTATCATAATTATAGATCATTATAGATCATAATTAAATAGATAATGATAATTATAGATTATCATAAACCATCTATAATGATGATCATCTATTATAGATAATGATGACGATTCCTCCTGATGATCATCATGATCCCACCATAATCCCAGTTTTCTCAGGAGGCGATCTCTGCCAGCATCGCCGGGATCAAGGTGGCCACAGGGGCCATTTGTTCCAAAGCCAGCCGGGACGCCGGGACCGGATGGGGATGGGGGATGAGAGGTGGGGATATCATGAGGATATCATGGGGAAATAGATGTACATATATATATAGATACACATACAGGATATAAGTAAATAAATAAATAAATAACTAAATAAATAAATAAACAAACCATTGATATAGTGGGGATATTAACATATAAACCATTGATTTTTGCTGGGGAGATAAAAAATAATAAGGGTTTTGGAGGAGATCATGGTCACCTCGACGAGCTGATTTTTTGGGGATGGGTTGGTTCCCCAGCTCATCCCTCATCATCCATAGGACTTTGGGGTCATGGATGTCATATCATGTTATATCCCAATTTCTGGTGCTTGTACCCATAGTTACCCTCTGGTAAACATACAAAAAGCTATTGAACATGGCAATTTATAGTTGATTTACACATTAAAAATGGTGATTTCCCATAGTTTTTTGATGTTTTTTGTAGGTTTACCAGAGGATTATAGCCAGAAAAACCCCCCGCTCATTCCTTGGAAACACCCAGGTCTGGCCATCACCGGGGGATTGCAAAGTTTCAGCATCGACAACTGCGCATTGAGTCTGGACGTCCTTTACAAGGCAGGGATCTTCAACAAAAGAAGAAAACGATTATGGGTTTTTGGATGATTACGGTGGATTTCCTCTCTTTATCATCCAATACACACACACACGTGTACATATATATATACATACTGTATATATATATATTTATAATCAAGATGTTTTTTATGTGTGGACTATCTTTCTCACATTTTCAACATCTTCAACACATCTCGTTTTTCGGCCCTTGGGACCTGGTGTGGAAATTCCCAAAAAATGGCCAGGCCATGGTGTATATTGAAGACACGGGAGCAGACAACGATGGCCAAATTGGTACAGGGATTGATGTCATGGTTCCCACCAATGGCCCGGACTCCCAAGACGGGAATTTGGACGACTGTTCCACTGTTCCGGGATGATGTCATAGTCACCTTATATGGTGACCGCGGGAGGTGGAACACATCTCAAAGTGATGCGGGCTTCTCTGAAGATTTATATAGGTGTTAAAAAAAAAAACCTAAATTTGATGGTTTATCAGGATTTACCCCAATGACATGTATGAAATAGCACGGCACTGGACCATTGTGTATCAAAGCCCTGCCACATCTTGCCTCCCGCAGAAGAGCATAGGCTGAAGAACTATTAAACGGCAAGTTTGACACACCCATGTGGCTCTAAGTGTGTCTTTGATGCCGATCCCTATCCGACATGTTGGCCGAGGACCTGTGCGAATTGATTGGCTTCTTTTGGCTCTCCAGAATTGTTGGAGCCGTGTGTTTTTTCAAAGTGTCTCTCTTCACACCACGTTGCCATGACCGTCCTCCAGGGTCAGGTTGAAGCTGTTGACACTTGGCCTAAGGCACAACCAACACCTTCAACTCCTACCCAAAGTTGGTGATGATCATGGGCGAGCTGGTTGGATATCCAAGGGCTTGGCTGGGGCCATCCTGATCGTAACGGCGAAGCCTCAGTAAGTTGCTGCTCATTTTCCCATGTTTGTTGGCTACAGACGTTGTAACCCCATCCGCATTGCTCAGTTCGCATTAAGTCTGATAGGCCACTTCATCATTTTGATTGGCCATCTCTCTATTTTTTCTACGAATCACCCCCAATTTCTCAAGGTTATATCTAACTCCCAGATATTGCGGCTCAGTTTCCAGCGAGTCGTTCCTTTCGTCTTTCCACCCTCCAGTTTTCCATCAAAAAGTTCCCTGCCGGGCCTATTTAGGCCACCAGCGATGGGGTGACCTTCACCTTCTCTGCTCGTTGGCCAAGCTCGGTGTTAGCAAAGATCAAGGATGATGAAGTATTTAAAAAGATAGCTATTTTTTTGGATTTTTGTTCTTCAAGGATTGCTTTGAATGGTAAAAACACTAGTTTATACATGTCTTTATGATTCACCCATGCTTTTGAGTGATCCATCCATGGTTTTTCATGATTCAAGTATGTTTCTGTATGATCCACTAGTGGCTTTTGCATAGGTTTTTATGATCCATTAGTGAAGGGTCCTCTTTCCGTAACTTGAGGCCAGCAGCATCACCGGCCGCTTGTGGGCCATGGTGTGGCGTCCCAGGCGTTTGTTCGCGGACAAAATGTCTAGCTTGGTATGGCTCCAGAGTAGATCTAACTCTAACATACTCAAACCCCCAACATTTTTTCACCCCAAAATTGCTGGGTGAATCTCTTTCACCCACTCACAGTTGGCATGGTTGGCATGGTTGGCATGGTTGGCGTCGAAATCATCATAGGCACCCTTTTGGGCCCCTGAAAAACAACGCTGGCTCCGTTGCTAAGGTGGTTCCGAATCATGTGGGCGACTGCATGACTGTGAGGCGTTGCGAAGATCTAAGAGCCACGTGGATCTCAGATGGATAGATGGATCCCATTTGAGCTGAATGGCTTGTAATCCCACATTTCTTTGATTTCTGATCATTTTGTACAACATGATATGTGTCTTCGTGATTATTTCTTTCACATTTCTCATTTCGTCAGATCAACTGAGATATCTGAGATCCAAAGTGTCGAAGTCCTGCTCCAAACAGAACTTTCACATTCCAAACATTCCAAACATTCCAAAGTCTTCAGACCCACAGCGAGATCAAACTTGAAGATCCGAGACACGGTGGCCCGGTGTGGCCCGGTGGCCACCAAGTTTAGAACTTCCCGCCAGGGCCATGAAGTTCTTGCGGGACGCCCTTTGTAGCCGATGGCCCGGACTTGGAGCAGGGATGGAGTTCTGTGAAGCGGAAAGCTATAGGAAAGCTATAGGAAAGCTATAGGATAGACAGGTGGTGAAAATGATATCCTTCTGTATTTCAATGCTGATATGATAAGATTTCGAATCATTGATTTATATAGATTAACTCAGTGATTTCTGATCAAAGAAATATCATCCATGCTGTTCATGTCGTGGTTAATTGATAATTATTGGAAGAACTGATAATGACACAGATGAATGACATGGATATCCTGAATTTCAATGGATTATCAGCATTTTGATCAACTTGTTTCCCAATCGAACTTGCAAAGTTGGTATCTTTGTTCGTCGATGAAGCCAGTGGCGATGCAGGGTTTCTGAGCCTTGGAAACAGTCGTGAGGACACACCCTCCATTGATATATTGCTTTGGGCACATTTTAATGCGACACCGCACCGTGATTCTGATAACTTATGATGTCTTATGATTCTGTTTCTTTTACATCCCATGTTGGGAATGATGGTCATTGAAGCGAGATGGCATCATATGGCATCGGTAGCTTTTCATCGCCAGGAACTATGTCATCAACGACCAGACGCAGACGATCACCCTCACGGGCTGCAACATGAAAGGCGGCGAGCTGGCTGGGGATGGTGAAGCGGTGAAGCCACAGACATGGTGGCGGCTCCGATGGCAAAGCTCATGAGTTTTAGGGACAACATGGATTAACACATGCACTTTTGGGGATGTTTGGGGTTGATCATGTTGATCCCTACTATTTTGCAGACAAATCTTGGAACATATGGGTTAGTATGGGTGACAATAACTGCATGGTGGTTTCGGCCCTGAGTCTGCCTATTTGCAGGAGGCGACACCTATCGGTTGTTTGTGTACGTGGAGGCGCGCGCTATGAGTAGTTGTAGGACCTGAAAGGCCAAGGCCACTTTGAAGTTCCACTGTCATCGATTGGTCAGGTCATTCAACATCAATTGAACTATAGCCGCTTAGCCAATACTTTGTTGATGTTGACAGATTTTTTTCGATAAAACTTTTCAATTCTCCCACTTTTTTTTCGATATTTCGCCCTAGCTTTCAGGGTACATCCAACGGAGATGATGGCGTCCTCGCGCCAGCTGTACCGTGGCAGCCTCGGTCGCATAGCTGGCACCGTTGAGGTGAAGATTTTCGTGTGATTTGTTGTGAAAGTTACCATCTGGTTATTTGTTACATGGCCATGGAAAGTCCACCCATTTTTAATAGGTAAACCATCTATTTCTGTGGGCCATTTTCCATGGCGAACTGTTAAATAACCAGAGGGTAGCTGGAACACATATTAATTGAGTTTTTTGTTGTGAAAATTTGGGACAGAAGCGATTGTTCACCTTTCTTTGGCTGGACATCATGCAAGTGTGGTGCAGGTTTACGGTGCCTTTCACCAACACCTTCATCACGCAGCCCATGGTAGTGGATGACTTGGTGTCACCCGAGGGCTTGCAATTGACGTCACTTGACCTGTAGAAGCCACGGGTTTTCGGCTTTGGGAAGGTCCAGGGTTGAAAGATCTGAAAAAGCCCAAGGTTTCCTGCAGATTGGGGCCAGAAACTTGCCAGTTTAATGGGAACTTCATCATTTTTATATAGTTCACTGGGGTGGTTTATGAATTTATTGTGGGATAGCATGGGGTTCCAAAGTTTTGAGATGGAGAAAAAGTCCGCGACAGCGGATGGGAATAGCTGAACTGATGGAGTGGGCATGGTGGACATGGCTGCTTTGGGGTAACTGTGACATAACCAAGTGCCACTGCCAACTATCACTTCTTGTGCAGTGAAGTGCAACCAATCACCTGGACCCAAAAAACAAAGATTGGAATCCGCCAACAAATGGGTTTGTCTGAAAATAGGGTATATTCCCAATTGTAGCCATTTAATAGGGATAATGATCATTAACCATTGGGTTTAGGGGTACACTATTTTCAGACACACCCAAATGGGTCTGGGTCAAGATTCAGTACCTTCAAAAAATGGTTGCGCAGTTACACGACGAACAACTGGACTCGAAATACCTGACTTTTTAAGTCCCGGAAAATATTCGATCGGGATGGCACCCTTAAAATGAATGGCATCGCTATCAAGCCATCCAATTGGGGTGTTAAATGGGTATATGATATATGATATATGATCCTATTGGGGGGTTAGTATTCTGGTATCATGTTAATTATATGATATATGATACTACATGTCACTCCATGTCACTCCTGCCTTTTGTCTCAGAATTCTTTTTTTTCCACAGAGACAGACAGAACTTGTGAAAACCAATTGTGGGTCAAGCCATCCCAAAACCCATCATCCCCCGCAGGTTCCAAGCCTCCGAGACGGAAGGGAAGGCTATCCATCCGCTGGATGGAATTTCTCTCAGGGACCTGTCAGTGTTGGTTATGTTTTGGTCATGACAACATATGAGAATCATATTTCCAATTGTTATGACATGTTATGACTACATATTTCCTACATATATTGTTTTATATGGGTCAATTTCCTACACTTACTCCAATTTTGACCCATATATTTTTCACGCTTTGATGTTTGCCAAGATGTCCTGAACATGTTTTGATCATGCTGCTGTATGATTTTTGTGCATTTTATCACACAAATGACTAGGTGCTGTGGGGAAGAGTCATTTAAAGATGTTTGAGGCTTCCCGGCTTCCCAGGAGGTCAACAACCAATGAAACAAGCGAAGGCTGCTTCAAGTGACTGAAAGATGAAGGGTACCTTTCCTTTCCCTTTTTCATGTCAACCCCTCATTGTCCTGTGGACCATGACCTTTTAAAAAAAGTGCGGGGTTACCCCCAATATCCCCCGATTACCAGCGATCAATTACGGGATTTATCATGAAAAATGTGTTGAAAATGGGTAGCCCCCATCATTGGCAGCCATTCACCCCACAGTTTCAGACAGCCAGGTTTGGGCGATAGTTGTGGCCAATATCCATGAGCAATGGGTGGATCCCAATGCCATCAAGGTTGGTGGGGTGTGGCTACAGTGGAGTGGGGCGTCTGGAACTGTCGGAACTGGATGGAACTGGGGGATCTGCCGTGCAGGGCAGGGATTGGGTTGACATGTCACCGTTGTAACCCAAGATCCCATGGCGAATCATCATTTTCCCATGATGAACCAACTCCCTGCCAGATGCACCTGGTCTCCGCAGCCGTTTTTGGCTGGGAAGTTATGAAAAGACCATGACCCACAGGAAGACCCATGTTGAAGAATGTTGCCATGAGGTCTCAAGCCACGATGGTGCTATGATTGCTATGCCTGATATGACGAGCTTCTTAGAGCGATCAGAGGAACATCACATCTTAATCTCAGCACAGATCCACGAGGTACAAAAGCTCTGGGTATCACCTTGAAGATCCTATGCGAAGGAAAACAAAGCTGAGACCCAATAAAAGGTAGACACCCGAGCCGCGAACATTTGGCAGTTGAAGACACCACAACATTTGGAACACACCTAAAGCAACATGATCAACTGTTATGCTGGGAAGCAATAGTAATGATAGTCATGTGTCCACAAGTAAATAGTGTATACCCAGCAAGAGTTTTGACGTCCATAGTTGCGACCAAACATAGCTGACGCTGAACCACCGCTCCGCGGTGGATCCGATTCTTCAGTCTGGCGCGGCCAGTCCCTGCAGTTGTTGGTAGAGCCGTGGAGATGAGCCGAGCTCGAAACAGCATCGACACATCATCAACATCATCGAAAGTTGGGTTAGAAGCTGTTTTAGCCCAAATTATCAAACATGAACGTTGAGTTATAAGTTCTATAAGTTATATAAGTTCTATAAGTTATATAAGTTATATAAGTTGTATAAGTTGTATATAAGCGTTCTACCCCAACTTTCCCAATTTTTGTCCGATGATTCAAGTGATCCAGGCCCGAGCATCGCGTTTCGGCAGGTCATGGCGGGTCCTATGAGTCCCGAGATCTGGGATGAGTTGATCCATCTCAGGGAAGATCGACAGAAGATGCTGGACGACATTCTGGGGCATTGGAAAAAAAATGTCTGAAACCTCCTTAAAACTCTGGGGGAGATTTTTGGATGTGTCTTCCAGTTCAAAGCTACAGTTTTTTTTTCGAGCTTTTTTCTTTGTTAGATGTGGAGATGTTAGGAGATCTGTTTGGGGGGATGGTCATTGATGCTGGATGTGCACGTGGTCGCAGGATGCCGTAGAGAAAGCGAAGCAAGAAGGAGACGAAGGTGGCACACGTAGCGCCCGCATCCAAAGCTTCACCCAAGACTTGGAGTTTGGGTTTGGTGCATTTTGAAGCACCCAAGAAATGCAGTGAACATGAGTAAATCATATGGGTTTGTTGGAGAAAACAAAGCCAGTTTGATAATATTCAATATAAATAATATATGATTATAGATGTATGATCACATATATATATATATATATGTGATCATATTTGCTTGAGCATGGTGATCCAGAGCGCCTGAGAGCCACGCTTAAAAGCGTTTGAGTCAGAACGTCCCATCTTCCCTGTCAAAGTTCGAGGTGGTGCAGAGTTCCAATCCATGCTGGCCAATGAGATCTCTGAAAAGATCGAGGAGCGGAGATGGCTGGGAACTGGATGGCTTCGGTTGTCCAAAGGGGGCGGAGAACTCGGTATGGCTCCCAATATTGGCCCCCCCAAAGCACTGATTTTTGGCCGTGGATCTTTTTGTCCACTTTCGTAACGGATAGATGTTGAGCTGTTGGCCCGGAGTATTTAGGGGGCATCCCCTCAATACGGATACTATAAGCTGCTACCAAATAAATGTGGTACCTCGCCCCAATGAACCGTTTTCCGGGAACATGAATCCGGGGTTGACATTAAACTTAAACAATCCACAACCATCCCATGTTTAGGTCTCTATGATATCGACCCCATATTGGTTTCAACTGGGTGATATCACTTGAGCACTCTACAGTCTGAAGTTGGCCATTCAGTTGGCATTGAGGCTCTTGGGTGGCATCCCAAAGGCCGCCCCCCATGGTCACAGGAGATCGAGGGCAAGTACAGTTCCTCTCCACCGCTGCCCGGTTGGGCAGCTCAGATTTGTTCAATTTCACCGTCCGTGGATTTCTGCAGCAACCTCTGCATGTTTCACAACCCGCAAAATGTCGATAAATATGGTACCATTTGGTACCAAACCGGGATTTTGCCTTGTGTTTTTTTGTCCAGGAAGTCATTACTGTGAGGATCGTGAAGATTTGGATGAAGCCTTCAACAATCCTCAAGGATGCCATAAACTGCTGGGATTCCATCTTAAGAGCCCAGGTGCCAAGGCAGTCGCCTCCAATGGCAATGCGTTACCTCGGCCTATTTAGGATGCTGTTGTTGGCTTGGAGGGCAGGTTGCCACTTGAAACTGGCACCATTTGAAGGTATTTCAATATTTTCAATAAACTTCAATAAACAATTATTATAAATAGTAAACACCTATTTCGCATGTTGACATGTTTAAAGTTTAAACTAGTAGTATGATGTGGATTACACCAGTTGCAATGGAATTTGGTTCCGAAGTCGCAAAAATTTGGTCACTACAAGGTGGGACCCCCATTTTATGTTAGTTGGTTTATAACCATGAAACTATAGTTATAATATGTTATCATCACTATAAACCCAACCATTTTTGGAGTTCTGTTCACCAACTTCTAACTAAATCCCTCACCTAAATCCCATGACAAATCACCATGAACTTTTATGAAATCCCACTTTCTTTACATTCGTTTTGGTGTCCACTGGCCTAGGATAACCATCACCATCCCCGGCCCAGGCTGGTCCCGGTTCAGAGCTTCCCCCCGCGCTTCCCTGCGCCGGCATCGATTCCGATGCTCGGCGCAGATGGTGAGTTCATCCGAGGGGAGATGATGGGAGTTTTTTTTTCGCATTTTTTATGGGGATGTTTTTGATAGTGGGGATGTTATAGGATAGGAAAATCACCAACATATAATCTCATATAATCATATAATAATAATGATAATATAATGATAATACTAATATAATGATAATAATAATAGTCATATGACATTTTGAGTGCCTGGAAATGGGAGTATGCTTCGGACATTGGCTGTTTTACGAAAGACCATGAGAATTATCCAGGGCTTTTGGGGTGGCTACTTCCAGACAGACATGGGGGGGTTCTAACATTGGCGACCCATGGGAAACCTCCAAAATGAACCACAATGATTCATTCATAGAATTGGATGATGGAAAAATTTACAGGAAAGCCCTATATTTGATGGGAAAATCTATGGTTTCCTGTAGATTTTCCCTTAAACCAATCCATTGATTCATATTTGTGGTATTTTGTGGTAAGAATCCGCCTATGGTTTTGGTTTCCCTCAGAGAAACATCCAAATGTCAGGATATCGACCTGGATATCGACCTAATCAATGCGTGGGTAGATGAAGGTAGATGGGCACTGCTGTTGGTTCTTCATCTGCAAATTCACAACATCGAACCAACTCCTTAGGCTATTTCAGATGACGGTTCTGTCTGGGATTATGGACTTCTGGGCTGATATGAAGCTCACTTCTACATATGATGTATACCCTCTGGGAATTAATTTGACATAGCTATTGAAAATGGCCTATTTATAGTTGATTTACTTATTAAAGATGGTTATTTTGAAACTGTTACTTTACCAGAGGGTATGTTTTTCTCCAAGAGTATAGACCTCAGAGTGCCGGACCCACTGAGGAAGCTTCCACCGCCCCCTCCCGGCGCAATGTTGTCCATGCCTCCAGGCTGCGGACCTGTTTCGAAGGGAACCTGTTGGTGGTTGAAACTGGGATCACTGATTTTTTTGGGTGAAATCGTCAGTAAATATGGATTCCGGTAGAGATTTTGTCCAAATATGTCCAAATCCAATCTATGGATAGTCCTTTGTTGGTTTGCTGCTTGATGTTTTGACGCGGATGGTTTTCCTTTCGATTCTTTGTCCCATGCAACCCTCGGCTAGGCGGCCTGCCAGGTAGCATCCCTGGTGTGGCAGGCGGACAACACAACGGGACGTCATGCCGAAGTTTTGTGCCCCAAATTTGGTGAATCTGAAGATCTCTTTGGATTTAACCACTTTTGGGTTTTTGATGTGGGTAAAACAATGTCATAAAACACCCATGACTGGGAATGGTTTATACCACCTATAAAAATGGTGATGACTGGGGGATGGTTTATGGCATTGTTTTACCCACATTAAGGGTCAAACTTGAACATCCCAGTGCCCAGGCGCAGGCTACATGAAACTTCGCAACAGTTTACAGCCAAGAAATGACTCACATCTACATCTGAGCAGTCGCCCAATATCTTGTTGGCCAAATACCTCATTGGTCTTTGTGGTCTTGGGGTTCCACCATCTGCTTTCGTGAAGAGTATTGAAATCCATGCTTGGACATGCTACCAACCCATAGCTGTTAATCCTCCTTTTTCGGAGTGACACCCCCTGTTTCCAAGTTGATAATCTCCGAACAACCCCCGCTTGTTCAATTTTTTTCCCTTTGATAGCCTGCGCAAATCGCATCCCAAATGTTGAATCAGGTATTGTGTAATTATCCATCAGAAAACCCCTATGAGATCCAGAGTAGCCTGCTTTAATGAAATTGGCAATTTTCACACCATATGTTGGCTATATCCAACATATCCAGTATATCGATTATATCCATTATAACCCTATTTATTTGATTTTATTTGTTGGTTATCATCCACTATTACTGGGGTTTACACCTCCAGCCAGTGCCACAGCCAGTACAGCGCCAGGGGCATTGGGCATGCGACCTCCGGGCTTTATGGGAGGCCGCTACCAATTTAATTTCCCAACGACATGGTTGAACATCATGTTTGGATGTGCCAAGTTTCTTACCTCTATCATAGGTGCAATTGAAATTGATGGTTCATACCAACCGTTTTCGCAGTGAAAACAATGAAGATTTCCTGATGTCATCTCAACTTTTCTTGTTTGTTTTTTCATGTTTTTTCCAATATGCTTGAGGTGCTTGTTTCAACTTTCTTGATTTGGGAGATCAATTTCAAATTTCCCAGTTTTTTCGCCCCAAGTCCTCCAGTTCCCAGGCTGCGGAACCCTGGGCGTGCCGCCTGTGGTGCCGCCTGTAGTGCTGCCGGTGGCGCCCTTGCGGCCTCCGAACCTCATCCAGCAACAGGCAATGGGGGGACCATTTTTTTTGGTAGCACAAACCCTCAAAAACCTAGAGGAGGTGGAGTCTGTGGAGATTTATCCATGAAAAATGCTGATTCAACCACGCAAAAGCTGGATTTCACCATGAAACATGGTGATTTCACAACAAAACGTGGTGATTGAATGGGATATGAATGTACGTATATGAATGGGAATATCATGGGAAGAGATCATTTGGGTCTGAGAATAGGGTATACTGACTCCCCAAATGGCCATTTTTCAAGGGGGAAAATTTGAAAACGATGATCCACCTGCGGGTAGCCATGGGTAGCCTATTTTCAGACACATCCATTTGCTGAGTGGGTGAGTTTCTATTTTCCTGTTGGTACATCCACTATTTAGGGAATCCGCAGATACAAAAATTGAATCAGATACACATATATTTGGGTAGATACTGTTTTTGACCACCTCTTTCTGGGGTCACTCTATGGATTGTGAGGTCTAAACATGACCGAATCTGTGGTCTTCTGAGAGTCATTGTGTTGATCCTTCCACTCACATGGCTGTGAAAATTCGACTTTGACAGGAAACAGCCTAGAATGGTGGATATGTTTTTTTTTTTTAACTTTTTCCCAAGCTGCACTACAAGAGGGTTGTTCTTGGGGCAGGATTCTGAGGTGATTGGGAGAGCCATCGTCTGGCCAGGTTTTTTTTCCTGTCAGGTAGAGTGTCCGATTTCTGGGGAAATGAGTCAAAATCTCTTACCTGCCCAAGTTCAAGCCATGAAATTCTATAGTTCCCCTCGATGTAGAAGTCTCTAGCCCGGACGTCTGAAGAGAAAGCATTCAATAGTGTATCTAATATCTCCAACGATAATTTTAAACAGAAAGCACAAATATGATCAAATATGTATGGATCTCGCAATTTTCGTTGGGAAAAATCATGTGAAACCATGGTAATCTGGCAGTAAACCATGGTAAAAAACCAATGGGGTTCCAGCGAATCACTCCAACGGCAGGCTATGGAATACGAGCAAACCAAGGCTGCCTCAACGGTTTTGGAGCCCGAGGTCGTAGAGTTGGTTCACTACTTCAAGATCGGGGACAGGCTGGGTGGCTGGGTGGCTGGAGCTTGGGGTGATGTTGATGGATGACACAAGTCATAGCCATGATGTCGCTGTTAGGATGAGAAAAACCTGTATGAATCTGGGATGTTTTGCGTCGTTTTCTGTAGCGGTTGCGGGGAGTCTGGTTGTCAAGATAGGTGGTTGCTGTCTTGCAGGCACGCCAGGATGCTGAATGAGCAGCTGAAGCGGCGAAACAATACCTACGAGGAGGACTGACTGGTGAAGAAACCTCTGGAAGTTGCTGAAAACTTGATCAAAGTTGGGTATTTCGATCCTACCCTACAATTTTGGAGATTTCCCGGTAAGAAACTGTTTGTAATCCCACTGCCTCAATCTTTCTGGATCAAGGCCAGGTGAGATTCAGGTTTTTCAAAGTAAAATCATGAGCACTGCCCTCTCGTAATGAAACTTGGTAATGGAAACTACAATCCAAAATGCAGCATTTCTAGTTGATCTTTCTCCATTTTCAAAACATAACGATTTCTCAATTCCGGTTGCAGGACATTGCGGCCTTGTACGAGATCTTGAAGGGCGCGAAAAACCCGGCGGATCTATTGATGGTTTCTATCCGATGGATGGAACAAGGTGCGCAAAATTTGCCATGGATTTTCCCTGGCAACTGTTTTTTTTTGATGGCAGCGATTTCAAATAGATTTGAACTCGAACTGAGTATACCCCAAAGATAGATATCAAACATGGGAAACAACGATGATACATTGAATAAACTTAAACTATGGAAATCCATTGAATTCTTGGGCAATTTCCCCCTCGTATCTTCGTCGCCAGATGCTCCGGGGTGTCAGGCTTCTGGCTGAACATGAGCCTTTGGAGTAAGATTTCTGTCATGAAGACTTGATCTATTAGCCGAATAGCCCTGTTGACTGATTAAGAAAAATGGGATTTAGGTGGTTTATCGGGAATTGTTGATGTAGAAACCATTAAAAACATGGGTATTTCCTAGAAGTTTCATGGCCTGCGACTGCTCAGGAGTCTTCAGGGGGTGCTTAACTCCAAATCCCAAAGTGGAGAAGGCTCAGCATGTGATTCATGTGGGTATCAGGAAAAAGAAACTAAACAAACAACTAAACTAGACATGTGATATTGATGATGATAACTAAACCCCATGAGTATGATATGTGATACCGTACTAACATCAATACAAAGAACTGGAGTCGTGTGCCACCCCCAAAAACTGGAGTCGTGTGATATTGATGATTTTCCGCCACTAACATCGCATGGCTCCAGTTTTTTTCGGGTACCCTGATCCACCGGCAGATCTCCAAGAAATACAAATTGGATGCGCCATCCGCCTGCAAATTGGCAGAGGCCGCCCTGGGTCGGAAGGGGAGGTGACCTTTGGTGATCACTGGATACGAGCCACAAAGCAATGGGACATCCACAGCAAAATCAATAATCAACACATGCCATATTCATCCATAGAGAGACTTATAGAGACTTATTCTGTTGGTTTCTCCCCAAAATCTGGTTGTTTGTGGCCCCAAAATCTGGTTGTTGTTTAATGGCAGGTCCCAGATTTCCCCCCCCTGCGAAGCGAAAAAAATTGCAGGCCCTGGAAAGCAGAAACGATGCCGACGAGGCGTTGGACAAGATCTGTGCCGAGCCCCAGCGATCTCCCGGAACTCAATGAGAGGTTTCGAATGTTAAAAAACATCGAATCTACAGATATCTATATGGTACTTACTAGATCTATAAAATACCTGGGGGATTTCTATATCTATATCTGGAAAACATCTATAGATCTGGGATAACTATGTTGTTTTTCCCATCTGGAAAAGAAAACCGGAGGGTAGAGCCATGAATCTCATGGGAATGTTGGGGTGACACCCTGCGAGGAATCTGAATGGAAGTTGACTGTAGATCAGAACGAACCAGAGACTAGTGATTTCAGCAATTCCCAATTTCACTGGGTAAAACACATGAGCAAACCATTGCTCTAAATCATCCAAATCACAATTGATGACAATTCACAAACTATGTTGAAAAACAGATTCTTTCGTATCCAATTGCTTTTCCCCCAAAAAAACTCAATCAAACTCTTTCCTCATGTTGGAATCATATTCTTAGACTTGGAGGGAACATGTTACCATTCACCACGGCCTCCACGGCCTCCACGGAGCAGCTGGAGCGGAGGTGAACACTTGGCGGCCTCCAACAAACCCTCCTCCCTGGTCTCATGCCTCAGGATGGTGTGATGGGGTTTCCACGGAACCATATCCAAATATCCAAGGTGAAGAAAGGGAAAATTTGGCCAGAAAAAAAAGGTGAAGTGGGGGCTTTTTCCATCTATTTTCTGAGATTGACATGGAAGCTGATGGCTTTGAACCATATTTTGTGGTTTGAGCCTACCAATCACTGGGATGACATCATCAACCAGTCACAAGATTGGATGCCAAATCCACTAACCAGTCACTTTTTGTCAAGAGGGTGTCCAAAGTCAAAGGAACTGCCAAAGATCACCTGGAGAATCAAACTAGCCACAAGGTGATGATCATGCTGAAAGACATCAAGAGTGGAGCTGTCCAAATCCCCAGAAAGCCTGGTGACATGTGACCTCCTGACTTCGCGGGGTCCCATTTCAGGGAGGTATGCAACCCAAATCCGGCAGATTCCCCAGAGACATGGCCACAAATATGGCCATCCCATCTGGTGCTGGTGATGCCCCGAGGAGATTCAAGCTTGCACCAAACAGCCAGCCATTGGCTCCTACATCCACAAGAAGGAACTGGGATCCAACCATCGCTTTCAACCTCATGTGGTTGATGGTGGGTCACCGACTTGGAGGTTTTGCAGTTTTTGATAGGTTTTACATCTTCATTGAGTTGGTTAAATCCCCATCTGATCCCCATTCTCCCAAACAAATTAAGAAGGGGAAGAGACATCCAGGACATCTCGGTTCTTTTTTTTTCCAGAATTCTCCACATAATCCCTGATACAGGATGGTGCCCCATATATAGCTAAGTTGGTGCACACAATTCGAATGTCTGGGTCTACGAGACCTAATTATATCTATAGATTAATGTGGATTATAAATTCACAAAAACACAAAAAAACTGGTGGATACCACAGCCTGGATTTTTCCCATTTATTTCATCGCCAGGCTGTGGTATCCCCCAGTTTTTCATCCCCCAGGAGACCGAAAAGAGCCGTGCGCGCACCTCACGCAGCCGGGAGCGTGCCGAGCGTGCCGAGCGCGCGGAGCGCGAGCGCGGCTTTCAGCCGCGCAGCAATCGTGCTACGTGGGAGATGCCCAGGGGATGGTGACTGGGATGATGGGGTAATCTTGGAAGATTTATGGGAATATAATTGGTGATACATTGATCAATGGGATATGGGGAGAACAAATTGATAAGAGGAAAATGGGATATGGTGAAAGGGATAAGATGTTATGGGGATATAATTGATATCATGTGGGGAAAACAATGATAAACCACCCATGACTAGGATTTGTATAATACCTATAATGCCCTATCAAAATGGTGATGGCTGGGGAATGGTTTATTATTGTTTTACAATGTTTTACCTAAATTGACATTAGTTTTGACATTAGTTGTACAGTACATATGGGAGCCGTCCGTAAAAGCAGGTCACAAATTTATGAATTGATGCGTTTACTTTCCTTGCGCGATTGCTAAAACCTGCATCGCGATAGGCTGAGCGATTGGTTGGCGATTGGTTATACGGCTACCTCCCTATTACTACTACTACTACTACTACTTTTACTACTAGTACTACTAGTACTACTAGTACTACTAGTACTACTAGTACTACTAGTACTACTACTACTACTACTACGACTACTACGACTACTACGACTACTACGACTACTACGACTACTACGACTACTACTACTACTACTACTTCTACTACTACTACTACTACTACTACTACTTTTACTACTAGTACTACTGCTAGTACTACTACTACTACTACTACTACCACGACTACTACTACGACTACTACTACGACTACTACTACGACTACTACTACGACTACTACTACGACTACTACGACTACTACGACTACTACTACTACTACTACTACTACTACTACTACTACTTTTACTACTACTACTACTACTTTCGAGACCAGAACCATGCCAATAATTGACATGAGCAATGGGTGGATCCCAATGCCATCAAGGTTGGTGGGGTGTGGCTACAGTGGAGTGGGGCGTCTGGAACTGTCGGAACTGGATGGAACTGGGGGATCTGCCGTGCAGGGCAGGGATTGGGTTGACATGTCACCGTTGTAACCCAAGATCCCATGGCGAATCATCATTTTCCCATGATGAACCAACTCCCTGCCAGATGCACCTGGTCTCCGCAGCCGTTTTTGGCTGGGAAGTTATGAAAAGACCATGACCCACAGGAAGACCCATGTTGAAGAATGTTGCCATGAGGTCTCAAGCCACGATGGTGCTATGATTGCTATGCCTGATATGACGAGCTTCTTAGAGCGATCAGAGGAACATCACATCTTAATCTCAGCACAGATCCACGAGGTACAAAAGCTCTGGGTATCACCTTGAAGATCCTATGCGAAGGAAAACAAAGCTGAGACCCAATAAAAGGTAGACACCCGAGCCGCGAACATTTGGCAGTTGAAGACACCACAACATTTGGAACACACCTAAAGCAACATGATCAACTGTTATGCTGGGAAGCAATAGTAATGATAGTCATGTGTCCACAAGTAAATAGTGTATACCCAGCAAGAGTTTTGACGTCCATAGTTGCGACCAAACATAGCTGACGCTGAACCACCGCTCCGCGGTGGATCCGATTCTTCAGTCTGGCGCGGCCAGTCCCTGCAGTTGTTGGTAGAGCCGTGGAGATGAGCCGAGCTCGAAACAGCATCGACACATCATCAACATCATCGAAAGTTGGGTTAGAAGCTGTTTTAGCCCAAATTATCAAACATGAACGTTGAGTTATAAGTTCTATAAGTTATATAAGTTCTATAAGTTATATAAGTTATATAAGTTGTATAAGTTGTATATAAGCGTTCTACCCCAACTTTCCCAATTTTTGTCCGATGATTCAAGTGATCCAGGCCCGAGCATCGCGTTTCGGCAGGTCATGGCGGGTCCTATGAGTCCCGAGATCTGGGATGAGTTGATCCATCTCAGGGAAGATCGACAGAAGATGCTGGACGACATTCTGGGGCATTGGAAAAAAAATGTCTGAAACCTCCTTAAAACTCTGGGGGAGATTTTTGGATGTGTCTTCCAGTTCAAAGCTACAGTTTTTTTTTCGAGCTTTTTTCTTTGTTAGATGTGGAGATGTTAGGAGATCTGTTTGGGGGGATGGTCATTGATGCTGGATGTGCACGTGGTCGCAGGATGCCGTAGAGAAAGCGAAGCAAGAAGGAGACGAAGGTGGCACACGTAGCGCCCGCATCCAAAGCTTCACCCAAGACTTGGAGTTTGGGTTTGGTGCATTTTGAAGCACCCAAGAAATGCAGTGAACATGAGTAAATCATATGGGTTTGTTGGAGAAAACAAAGCCAGTTTGATAATATTCAATATAAATAATATATGATTATAGATGTATGATCACATATATATATATATATATGTGATCATATTTGCTTGAGCATGGTGATCCAGAGCGCCTGAGAGCCACGCTTAAAAGCGTTTGAGTCAGAACGTCCCATCTTCCCTGTCAAAGTTCGAGGTGGTGCAGAGTTCCAATCCATGCTGGCCAATGAGATCTCTGAAAAGATCGAGGAGCGGAGATGGCTGGGAACTGGATGGCTTCGGTTGTCCAAAGGGGGCGGAGAACTCGGTATGGCTCCCAATATTGGCCCCCCCAAAGCACTGATTTTTGGCCGTGGATCTTTTTGTCCACTTTCGTAACGGATAGATGTTGAGCTGTTGGCCCGGAGTATTTAGGGGGCATCCCCTCAATACGGATACTATAAGCTGCTACCAAATAAATGTGGTACCTCGCCCCAATGAACCGTTTTCCGGGAACATGAATCCGGGGTTGACATTAAACTTAAACAATCCACAACCATCCCATGTTTAGGTCTCTATGATATCGACCCCATATTGGTTTCAACTGGGTGATATCACTTGAGCACTCTACAGTCTGAAGTTGGCCATTCAGTTGGCATTGAGGCTCTTGGGTGGCATCCCAAAGGCCGCCCCCCATGGTCACAGGAGATCGAGGGCAAGTACAGTTCCTCTCCACCGCTGCCCGGTTGGGCAGCTCAGATTTGTTCAATTTCACCGTCCGTGGATTTCTGCAGCAACCTCTGCATGTTTCACAACCCGCAAAATGTCGATAAATATGGTACCATTTGGTACCAAACCGGGATTTTGCCTTGTGTTTTTTTGTCCAGGAAGTCATTACTGTGAGGATCGTGAAGATTTGGATGAAGCCTTCAACAATCCTCAAGGATGCCATAAACTGCTGGGATTCCATCTTAAGAGCCCAGGTGCCAAGGCAGTCGCCTCCAATGGCAATGCGTTACCTCGGCCTATTTAGGATGCTGTTGTTGGCTTGGAGGGCAGGTTGCCACTTGAAACTGGCACCATTTGAAGGTATTTCAATATTTTCAATAAACTTCAATAAACAATTATTATAAATAGTAAACACCTATTTCGCATGTTGACATGTTTAAAGTTTAAACTAGTAGTATGATGTGGATTACACCAGTTGCAATGGAATTTGGTTCCGAAGTCGCAAAAATTTGGTCACTACAAGGTGGGACCCCCATTTTATGTTAGTTGGTTTATAACCATGAAACTATAGTTATAATATGTTATCATCACTATAAACCCAACCATTTTTGGAGTTCTGTTCACCAACTTCTAACTAAATCCCTCACCTAAATCCCATGACAAATCACCATGAACTTTTATGAAATCCCACTTTCTTTACATTCGTTTTGGTGTCCACTGGCCTAGGATAACCATCACCATCCCCGGCCCAGGCTGGTCCCGGTTCAGAGCTTCCCCCCGCGCTTCCCTGCGCCGGCATCGATTCCGATGCTCGGCGCAGATGGTGAGTTCATCCGAGGGGAGATGATGGGAGTTTTTTTTTCGCATTTTTTATGGGGATGTTTTTGATAGTGGGGATGTTATAGGATAGGAAAATCACCAACATATAATCTCATATAATCATATAATAATAATGATAATATAATGATAATACTAATATAATGATAATAATAATAGTCATATGACATTTTGAGTGCCTGGAAATGGGAGTATGCTTCGGACATTGGCTGTTTTACGAAAGACCATGAGAATTATCCAGGGCTTTTGGGGTGGCTACTTCCAGACAGACATGGGGGGGTTCTAACATTGGCGACCCATGGGAAACCTCCAAAATGAACCACAATGATTCATTCATAGAATTGGATGATGGAAAAATTTACAGGAAAGCCCTATATTTGATGGGAAAATCTATGGTTTCCTGTAGATTTTCCCTTAAACCAATCCATTGATTCATATTTGTGGTATTTTGTGGTAAGAATCCGCCTATGGTTTTGGTTTCCCTCAGAGAAACATCCAAATGTCAGGATATCGACCTGGATATCGACCTAATCAATGCGTGGGTAGATGAAGGTAGATGGGCACTGCTGTTGGTTCTTCATCTGCAAATTCACAACATCGAACCAACTCCTTAGGCTATTTCAGATGACGGTTCTGTCTGGGATTATGGACTTCTGGGCTGATATGAAGCTCACTTCTACATATGATGTATACCCTCTGGGAATTAATTTGACATAGCTATTGAAAATGGCCTATTTATAGTTGATTTACTTATTAAAGATGGTTATTTTGAAACTGTTACTTTACCAGAGGGTATGTTTTTCTCCAAGAGTATAGACCTCAGAGTGCCGGACCCACTGAGGAAGCTTCCACCGCCCCCTCCCGGCGCAATGTTGTCCATGCCTCCAGGCTGCGGACCTGTTTCGAAGGGAACCTGTTGGTGGTTGAAACTGGGATCACTGATTTTTTTGGGTGAAATCGTCAGTAAATATGGATTCCGGTAGAGATTTTGTCCAAATATGTCCAAATCCAATCTATGGATAGTCCTTTGTTGGTTTGCTGCTTGATGTTTTGACGCGGATGGTTTTCCTTTCGATTCTTTGTCCCATGCAACCCTCGGCTAGGCGGCCTGCCAGGTAGCATCCCTGGTGTGGCAGGCGGACAACACAACGGGACGTCATGCCGAAGTTTTGTGCCCCAAATTTGGTGAATCTGAAGATCTCTTTGGATTTAACCACTTTTGGGTTTTTGATGTGGGTAAAACAATGTCATAAAACACCCATGACTGGGAATGGTTTATACCACCTATAAAAATGGTGATGACTGGGGGATGGTTTATGGCATTGTTTTACCCACATTAAGGGTCAAACTTGAACATCCCAGTGCCCAGGCGCAGGCTACATGAAACTTCGCAACAGTTTACAGCCAAGAAATGACTCACATCTACATCTGAGCAGTCGCCCAATATCTTGTTGGCCAAATACCTCATTGGTCTTTGTGGTCTTGGGGTTCCACCATCTGCTTTCGTGAAGAGTATTGAAATCCATGCTTGGACATGCTACCAACCCATAGCTGTTAATCCTCCTTTTTCGGAGTGACACCCCCTGTTTCCAAGTTGATAATCTCCGAACAACCCCCGCTTGTTCAATTTTTTTCCCTTTGATAGCCTGCGCAAATCGCATCCCAAATGTTGAATCAGGTATTGTGTAATTATCCATCAGAAAACCCCTATGAGATCCAGAGTAGCCTGCTTTAATGAAATTGGCAATTTTCACACCATATGTTGGCTATATCCAACATATCCAGTATATCGATTATATCCATTATAACCCTATTTATTTGATTTTATTTGTTGGTTATCATCCACTATTACTGGGGTTTACACCTCCAGCCAGTGCCACAGCCAGTACAGCGCCAGGGGCATTGGGCATGCGACCTCCGGGCTTTATGGGAGGCCGCTACCAATTTAATTTCCCAACGACATGGTTGAACATCATGTTTGGATGTGCCAAGTTTCTTACCTCTATCATAGGTGCAATTGAAATTGATGGTTCATACCAACCGTTTTCGCAGTGAAAACAATGAAGATTTCCTGATGTCATCTCAACTTTTCTTGTTTGTTTTTTCATGTTTTTTCCAATATGCTTGAGGTGCTTGTTTCAACTTTCTTGATTTGGGAGATCAATTTCAAATTTCCCAGTTTTTTCGCCCCAAGTCCTCCAGTTCCCAGGCTGCGGAACCCTGGGCGTGCCGCCTGTGGTGCCGCCTGTAGTGCTGCCGGTGGCGCCCTTGCGGCCTCCGAACCTCATCCAGCAACAGGCAATGGGGGGACCATTTTTTTTGGTAGCACAAA